GCAGGTGTGAAGGTGTGAAGATCTAGATCTGCAGGTGTGAAGGTCTGAAGATCTAGATCTGCAGGTGTGAAGGTCTGAAGATCTAGATCTGCAGGTGTGAAGGTGTGAAGATGTAGATCAGCAGATGTGAAGGTGTGAAGATGTAGATCTGCAGGTGTGAAGGTGTGAAGATCTAGATCTGCAGGTGTGAAGGTGTGAAGATGTAGATCAGCAGATGTGAAGGTGTGAAGATGTAGATCGGCAGATGTGAGAGTGTGAAGATCTAGATCTGCAGGTGTGAAGGTGTGAAGATCTAGATCTACAGGTGTGAAGGTGTGAAGATCTAGATCTGCAGGTGTGAAGGTGTGAAGATCTAGATCTGCAGGTGTGAAGGTGTGAAGATCTAGTATAACGGCTGCTTTTTTACGAAGAACCCTTCGCAGGCGCTCTCGGGAAAAACATTGGGGGTATTATGAAATACATTGAACCAGGTTCTTTAAGGAAAAACCATCCACAAGTTGCCTAAATGGAACCAATATGGTCTTAGAAGCGTTCACTGCCATTGAAAGCAAATCAAATTATGTTTTTCAAAGAAACATGAAGAAAGGAAAGATTATGGAAGAATAAGTATTAATAGTTAATAATTTAATGCTTTCTATCTTTTTGCATGGGGTGAATCCTTTCCTTTGAGTCATGTTGCTGTGCTGCTCTTGGACCTGGAACCAAAATTAACGCTTTCATTGCAGAAGGTTGAAAGATATTCAAACATGTTCAGAGTCTATCTGTCTCAGATTCCGACGCGCCATACCTGTGAACTGTACAGGAACAAGTGTGAGCTGCGCGTGGCCTCACGGCTTTAGACTGATCGCGTTGACTCCACAATCTTGCGCTCGCAGCCACTATCAAACGTTGTCGTGCATCTCGAAAGAACATGAAATAACATGAAAGCACATGAAATAACATGAAAATCTGATTCGGCCAATTCGGCCAAGTAGCTAAACAGAGTCTTACACACCATCTGCAGGAGCTGCGGCGCCAACCTATACAGGTCCAAGAGCAAAGTCGAGCGCAAGGGAGAAAGCAAAGAACATGTAGCATGATGTAACATGATGATACATGATGTAACAACTGTCACTCAACTGTAACGCCTATTAGAAGGAAGTGATACAAATAGGAACCTTTCATGACCGTGGTTCCCCATGTGTGCACTTAGGGCCTTGTATGCCTTTGTCAGAACAAGCGCTTTGGAAGCATCACCAGTCAAGCCTGCAGCACAAACATCAGATTCCCCATGTTTACCGAACGCAAACAGAGAAACAATGAAAGAGGGGTGACCTGACAGGTTTCACATGGTTTCACTATCTTCCTGTACCTGTGAGAACTCAAATTGTTACGTGAACATTTGCTGTCCAGATTTTGGCCAAACTTTTCTGTGCTTCCAGAACTTCCAGTCTGAGGCTAGCAACCCATCTCCATGGGTCCGCAGATCACTCCTGCTGCCCATTCACCTGCAACCTGCTCTGGTCATGCTCTGGTTAGGGGCGAAGTCCATGCAATGCAACACAATCAGCACAAACTCTTGACCGGGTTACTGGTCACCAACTGTCTATATGTTGTCTATACTTTATACACCACCCTCTCATCCATGTCTCAGTCACACAGCATCGACTTTTCCGCAATTGATCACTACAACCCCATGTTTGACAGAAAATCATGCTGTTATGTGTTTTCCGTGCTCATTTTCCGTTATTCTGCCTCTTCTAGTGACTTGCAAGTTCTCTGAGTGTTCGGATTCTTCAATTTTTCATGCTTTTTGGAGTGAGTTCCAATTCTGGCCCTGATGAGGTCCAGGGACCTCATGGTCTTGGGGTCAAAATCCAACTGCGGTGGTTTCCCCGGCCAAAACTCTCTTTGGCCTTCCTGGCCAACAAAATCCAACAAGTACTTTATCGTCTTTATCCATCTTTATACCCTATCCAGGCCCTATCCAACAAGATGGAAACGACAATTGTACCAAAATAAGTACTGAACGTGAGCCCGAAGTGTTGTGAAGTCTTGTACACCCTTGAAGGCAATAGCATCAAAGTAATTCTGGTACATTCTGCACTGTTCAAGATTGCTTGGAATCAAAATAGTCAAAATACATTACAATGCTACCAACCATTGCAACTTTGGCAAAAATGAACAAGGAAAAGCTAGCAATCAAACATCACTAGGGCAACGGGCAGTCGTCCAAATTTGCAAAAAACAACATCAATGTATTGCACAAACATTCCGTACCGCATCGATGATAGCACTGTTTGCAAAATTTGCTGGGTGGCTTATTCAAGTTGGAGCGAGTTGCTGCTCCTGGATCGTCGCTTCAACGTGCTTTTACAACGAACCGCTTTTTGCACTGCATACATCTGCCAAGCATCTGCCTAATGCTGTTTTCTCAAGTCCCGCCTTCTGGCGCTTGACTTCCTTCCCAAGAACTGAAGAACCTTCTGGAGCAAAAATCACCGACCTTGGGCAGAGTTGTCTCACATTGCCTCTTCACGATTCACGCCACTGAACTTCTTGCCAAGTTTATTGAAAGCAAAGAAGGCGGGGACTTCGTTCGTCCTGTGGTTCATTGCTATCCGTGCCTTTTACATGCACCAAAGGAATCAAAAACACAGAAGTCATGATTCACATGATGTCTGAACTAATCATATTAATCGTGGCAAACCGGCTGTCATCTTATGTTGTTTTGATTTGAGACTTGATCGCCCCAAACACTTAATGCGTTACACATGGAAGAATCTGGAGAGTCACGTAGCCTTATGTGCAAACTACGAACTACGGTAAAATGAGCACTCTTTCACCTGATTAGTATCCAAACGAGATTCGAATGGATACCCCATCCTGCATCTCATCAGCAACGAAGTGACGGCGCCGTTGTCTAGGCTCACCACTGTTTAGGTTCCAAATTGTCAAAGGAGGTCACCTTAAACAACAACGCATCGCTTGGTTCGTGCTGACTCTGGCATTAACATTTCCAGAACCCAGCAATATAAAACTAACGAAAAACTCAATGGCTTGAGGGTCTGACCACTGTGGCTTCACCACCTCCAGTCTCCAGCTCCACCAAGAACATCCTGTGAAACGATGTGAAATGCATGGTTGTGCAGACATAAAAACCCACCTGTGAAACCGTGCGAATGGTGCGAATGAATTGCAATCGTGTTTGCCTCAGAAACTGCTGGTGTCAATATCCGCCCCGAGGCGTCGGGGCGCGTCAGTTGCTGAGACATTGCCTTCGCGGTTTGCCTTCAGCACAGCCTTTGGTGGGGTTTGGCACCGGTGGTTTTGTTGCTGGGGTCAGGAGTGGGCGGGGCGGAAGGTGGAGCTTGGACAAGTCCACTTTGAGGCCGCTGTCAAGGACCAAATGGTTCTTCAAGCGGTTTCAGCGTGGTTTTTGCGCAGTCTTTTTGTTGTTAATTAAACTAGTAATATGGTTACTCTATGTTACAGCCCTTGGAAGGGTTTGGCACTAGCGGCAAGTCTGCCTGTGGGCCGGAAGGCCGGCTATGGCCGGCTATGGCCGGCTGAGAACACCCAACATCTATTTTATGCAGGTTTCAGCTTTTGCGCGTCGTTTTTTGTGTATCGTGGTCCATCCAATTTTGGTCCATTTTGGAATGTTTGGATGCTATCTCATGTGAAGATCTGAAGAGAAACCTTGATCCAAAGCAGTCTCGCAAAGCTGCGCAACACAAAAAGAGCTAGCCTATTGCCATACAAGAATACATCCAAATATTGGCAAATATGTTTTATTTTGCCATTCCAGGGGTCTGCGGGCTGCAGATGCGGAGCGAAGTGCAGCTAGGCAACTGTAGCTTTAGCTATAGGGGGTGCGCCCCTGCTGACCCTCGATAGTACAGTAGAGTTTTTTTTTTCAAAATATACATGTGCGCAAACAACGTTTTGAGCCACTTTTCAGATTCTTTCGGCTGGAAGAGAGACACAATGACTTGCTTTCGCCAAGTGTGCATCTATTGCAAAGTTGAGACATGAAAATCACACCCTGAAGATAAGGGTGGTTTTGAAACACACAAATACTGGTGTGTTTGAAAGATGCGCTCAAAAACATGTAAGAACATGAGGTGAATGCATGAATAATGTATTTTGGTGGATCCAAGTGTTCGATAACATCAACAAAACTGCAAATACTAGTAGCGACGTTTTGTTTTTGTTTGTTTTTGTTTCGATATTTTTTGAACGCGTTTTTTCAGGTGCAAATGCCACACGCTCTTTCGACTACGGCATCTCACCCCAAGGTTGGGGTGTTCAACCTGGATATCGCTCTGCAACGGGCATCGCCGGTTTGCGAAGCCGGTCAATGTACGAACGTCTCGTTGATGCATGCAAACATCATTAAACTGCTTGGTTTTGTTGCATTAGACTACATTGACCACATATATGGGCAGGTGATGGCAGGCGTACATTATCTACAGTCTACAGACTTATATCGCGGCTACTTGCGGTTACGCATGGTTGTACAGTACAGATATGCTGTGATGATTTGTGATGTGCAAATTGTACAAAACACTGCAACAGGGATCAACAGGGTCTGCACAGCCATCCCTCAACAACTGTGCGCTAGCTTCATGAGTTTTTAGAATGAAAGCGCGCGCCATTGCCTTCTGTGCGCATTGCAGCTGCATGTTTCGGGCACAGAAGGTGTGTCTCTGTCTTTTTTCGCGCGGCGGTCGGAACGAACCAATCGTCACCATTGCGTTGCTGGGCGCCTGACCCCAGCCCTCTGGCGGCAATCTGGTTGAATTGTTCTCGCTGGAAACACGAAGTTTACTCCTTCTTTCATGCTCTTCTTGGTTTCGTGGTTGTCCTTGGGTATGATCCTTTCTGTTGCCTTTGATCCCGATTCTCATGTGCTAAAGCACGCCCGCCTTCAACAAAGGCCCCTTGGCCCTTGAAACTGTGACGAGCCGGGGAAAAATTGTGGAGCGGCCATCATATGTCTTGTCCTGTGCTTTTGTTGCTGTGTCCGCAGGTACAAGTACGTACGATTACATACGTGCGTGCACTTGCGATTGTCCAAGTACGCGTGGCGCACATGCTTGTGCCTCTGCGTGTGCGTGCGCGTTTGCCCGTGAGTGTGTGTCCGTGCGCATGTGAGGTAGCAACTGCTGCTCTGTAGAGAGTGGATTAGAAGACATGGAATAATGAGGTTGAGAGCAGCAACCCAAAGTAAAAGCATTGAGTTGTCGGCCCTTTCTTCTTTTTCATTGGTTCCACATTGACAACCTTTGCCACAGTGTATTCACCTCGGCGTGATATGACTCAAACCACCGTATCAATATGGCAACACGTCACTTCAAAGTTGGTCGCAGGCTGTGTCTACCACCACCAGCTGATTCCTGCCAAATACAGTCTGCTGCCGATGCTCAAGCATACTAAGTCAACTACTAAGTCATGCTCAGTCCCAATAGCCTTTCACAAGGTGTCAAAAGCTGTCCTTCCCGGTTGGACTCTCATCGTCTCCAGCTTCTTCCTCCTTCCCGGTCTTCGACCCCTTGGCCAGACAACAGTATGTCCAGCCCAATCAATGCATCTTGAATCTAGAAACACAGTGGCTTGGTCTGATTGTAGGCGTTCACATTAAACAGATTTCTGTTGAACATGTGGAAACATCCTTGACAGTCTGCCAGCGAAGATGCGTGAAATAAAATGAAAACAAGTACGGTATGGAATGAAACTGAAGTTGCACGTAAGTGAAAGGTTGACATGTGCTCATTCCAGGGTGCTGCAGGAAGCAACTTCTGCAGGTGCCAAGGCAGTTCATGAGCTTGTTTTGAATGCTACACAGATTTGGACGGGACAACAAGCAAAACATCGTCTGCAAATCTGGGATGCTCATTTGCACGCCTTGCAACTGTATACTTGGGGAAACCCGAAACACCCTTAAAAATGAAGTCCGCACGCTGTACATGAGTCGAACGAAGCATTTGAAGTCATCATTTCGGCCAACAGGCGGGTGCTATTTCTGACTCTGCGCCAATGAGAGACAACGACTTTCTAGGAGAGATTCTGCATTCTTCTTCAGTTTTCTTGAGCTCTCACAAAAACGATTACGATGCCCAATAACCAGCAAAAGGGCATGTCCTGCCTTCCTTTTCCTGTCTTAGTCTGGATAGCAAAATCAGCAAAGCAGGAAGACACGCATACAATTCACTGCCAAGCCCAACAGCAACGAGGCTTTATCAATGATGAAGCTGAGTGCGCAGCTGGATCTTCCTCTTTGATTTTGTCTGCCTTCCCCATCTCATCCGCATGTTCTGCGGCTTTCTTGTCTTTTGCTCTTGGTTTCTTGCGCTCTGAGTGAACCTCCGGCGCATCTTCCTCCTCCTCAACCTCTTTTCGGCCCTTCTTTCCTTTGGCTTTTGCCTCTGCTTTGGGTTTCCCATGATGCTCTTCCTCCTCCTCAGAGTCATCGTCTCTTCGGTTCTTCTTGCCTTTTGCCTTGGCCTTGGCTTTTGCCTTGGGCACCTCCTCTTCATCTTCATCGTCGTCATCATGTCCTCGGTGTCCTTTTTTATTCTTTTCCTTCGCCTTTGCCTTTGCTTTTGAAGTGTGCTCTTCCTCCTCCTCATCCTCCTCATCGTGCTGGCCCTTCTTTCCTTTGGCCTTGGCCTGTGCCTTGGCTTTCCCATGATGCTCTTCCTCCTCCTCAGAGTCATCGTCTCTTCGGTTCTTCTTGCCTTTTGCCTTGGCCTTGGCTTTTGCCTTGGGCACCTCCTCTTCATCTTCATCGTCGTCATCATGTCCTCGGTGTCCTTTTTTATTCTTTGCCTTCGCCTTTGCCTTTGCTTTTGAGGTGTGCTCTTCCTCCTCCTCATCCTCCTCATCCTCGTGCTGACCCTTCTTTCCTTTGGCCTTTGCCTGTGCCTTGGCTTTCCCATGATGCTCTTCCTCCTCCTCAGAGTCATCGTCTCTTCGGTTCTTCTTGCCTTTTGCCTTGGCCTTGGCTTTTGCTTTGGGCACCTCCTCCTCATCTTCATCGTCGTCATCATGTCCTCGGTGTCCTTTTTTGTTCTTTGCCTTTGCTTTAGCTTTTGAGGTGTGCTCTTCCTCCTCATCCTCCTCCTCATCGTCGTGCTGACCCTTCTTTCCTTTGGCCTTTGCCTGTGCCTTGGCTTTCCCATGATGCTCTTCCTCCTCCTCAGAGTCATCGTCTCTTCGGTTCTTCTTGCCTTTTGCCTTGGCCTTGGCTTTTGCTTTGGGCACCTCCTCCTCATCTTCATCGTCGTCATCATGTCCTCGGTGTCCTTTTTTGTTCTTTGCCTTTGCTTTAGCTTTTGAAGTGTGCTCTTCCTCCTCCTCATCCTCCTCATCGTCGTGCTGACCCTTCTTTCCTTTGGCCTTTGCCTGTGCCTTGGCTTTCCCATGATGCTCTTCCTCCTCCTCAGAGTCATCGTCTCTTCGGTTCTTCTTGCCTTTTGCCTTGGCCTTGGCTTTTGCTTTGGGCACCTCCTCCTCATCTTCATCGTCGTCATCATGTCCTCGGTGTCCTTTTTTGTTCTTTGCCTTTGCTTTAGCTTTTGAAGTGTGCTCTTCCTCCTCCTCATCCTCCTCATCATCGTGCTGGCCCTTCTTTCCTTTGGCCTTTGCCTGTGCCTTGGCTTTCCCATGATGCTCTTCCTCCTCCTCAGAGTCATCGTCTCTTCGGTTCTTCTTGCCTTTTGCCTTGGCCTTGGCCTTTGGTTTGGGCACCTCCTCTTCATCTTCATCGTCATCTCCAGATTCTTCGTCGCTCTCCTCTTCTGGTTCTGGTCTTGCAAGAGCCTTGGCCTTGGCCTTGGCAAGTGCTCGCGACACAAGCTCATCTTCGTCGCTGTCCTCGCTGCTTTCTGAATTTTGGTCGTCTTCGGCTTCTTGTTGACTGGCTTGATGTTGGTCAGTGCTGCCCCTTTCCGCTGTTTCTTTGCTTGGCACATCTTCAGTGCTTGTTGCTTCGCTTTCTTCTTCGTCTTCGTCTTCTTCATCTGCCCGATCTTTATCTTCATCCTTGCCCTTCTTGTCGCTGCTTTGCGGAGCTTCGCTTTCATTAGGACGCTGTGCTGCTTCTGGCTCCTCTCAGTTGAATGGAGTCAGTTGAGACAAACCAAGCAATGATCATGACATATTGGGATAATACACAACTTGCCAAAGGCATACAGTACCTGGGATGATCCAATGCAACAATGTAACACATGTATATCATATACACATGTATCAAGCTTCAACAGTTGTTTTGACGCTTGTGCAAAGATGGAACTGCATGAGAACAAACCTGAAAACACACCATAATCTAAGCACTGTGTCCAAAAGTGGCCAAGCGGGTTCTATTCCAATAATCCCAAGACTTCGATGCCCGAAGTCGCTACAAACAACAACAAAATCAAGATTTCGAATGATTTCGATATGATGCTCCTGGGCTGTTTGAAGCCTGTCTTTCTTTTCTTGAGCTTGAGATGCTTGAGCCTCAGCTCGAGCTTTTTCAGCTGCTTCAGCTGCCAACTCCTGTTCCTTTCGTTTCTTCGCTGCTTGAAGCTGTTCCTCTGAGAGATGTTTGGCTCGTTTCTGAGCTCTCAATTCTCTTCGTTTCTGCTCCATGCGCTCCACTTCAGCTTGGCGCTCGTCCAACTGATGTAGAACTTTGTCTCTGTAGCCATCAAAATCTTTCTCAAATCGATAACACCCGCCATCCTCGCAAACCCAAAGTTCACATTCGACTTCCGTGATCAAACGGGCATCATGGCTCACAAGCACTAAGCCACCATTGAAGTTTGAAATGGCCGTTGTCAAAGCTTCAACAGACTCAATGTCCAAATGATTTGTCGGTTCATCAAGGATGATGATGTGAGGTTTCATCAGCATGAGAGCTGCGAAGGCCACGCGAGCTTTCTGACCTCCGGACAAATTGCCGATCTTTGTGAAGTGAGATCCACCTGGAAGTCCAAACTGGCCTAGAATTGCTCGAGCCTTTTCTGGCGGTCCGAGATTGAATGCATCAGTGAGATATTCTACGCCTGTCTTATCCAGTGGCAAAAGCTCTTCGAAATGCTGATGATACTGCCTGACCCGAATGCCTTTGGAGACTGACACCTCGCCTTGGCAAGGTTCCAAGTGCTGCATCATCAGGTTGAGGATTGTCGACTTGCCAGCGCCGTTGGGCCCAACGATAGCAATCCGGGAGCCGCAGTCCACACCAATCTCAACTTCGTCAAGCAGCCAGGGCTCCTTGCCATCATAGCTAAATGCTACCTCGGAGACGTTGAGTCCCAAGGTTCTGTCCATCCCATGGCCTTCAAATTTAAACTTGACGATGTAGTCCTTCTGCTTTTCATCAAGTGTGCTCAATTTGAACTTTTCTTTCACAAGATTCTCAGCCTCTTCCTGGTGTCAAACAAACAACAAAACTCAATGAGACAAACCGCTTCGCCTCAAGAAGTGCAGTCTGCTTGTCTGGACTGTGCCAAAGTGATGATACAAATTGATACAACATGTTGAGATTGAGCTGGATGGGTGTTGGAGGTCAGTTCAGTCTTGTAGAGACTTGTGGAGCTTTTTGGGGATCACGTTTCTTGATGTTTCTTGAGGCCATTGAGGATTGGGTGATTAACATAGGCTGGGATTTAGTGTCGGGAGATGTTGTTGGTTGTGTATGGTTTTGTGGGAGGTGGTGTGGACAGCGCACCCCATGGGGTGTCAAGATGTGTAATGGGGATAGACATTTAGGATGTGTGTGTGTGTGCCCCCCAGCAACACTTCTCTGGTCAATCTTGGACCCACAGAATATGCCAAACTTCCAGGACTGCAATATGATGGGGACAACATTCACAGATCGCACTGGGGACCTTTTGGACTGCAGAGATGCAAAGATTCAAACAAGAGATAGTTAGAGTATGCCCTATGCTAGACTGCTAGACTATGCTAGATCTGGAAGGATCCGGAAGGTAGTTTGAGATCCTCCACAAACTTCGCTGGCAGTCTTTCCCGCACTCCCAGGACTCTCGGAAAGAAGTTCAATAGCAAAGTACTATCTGCAAGTGGCTCCCATAAATGATTCTCGGGTGATGTGATGAAGTCTTGCACTATGTTGCACCATATGCATCCATAAGCTTGCTTTGGAGATCGAAAGCGACTACTCGATTTTACACAGTTGCATACCATTGCAGTGCTTTCGCAATGTGGAGTTGGAGCTTGCCAGGGTTATATAATGGGCAGGTTTCTCTTTTGGGATACTTCGGAGGATTTTGAGCTGTTCTTTGGGACTGTGCCCTGACATCTCCTGGAGGTCAACAAGTGTAACATGTACGCCTTGCTAGAAGGGCGCAGAGCAAGACTAAAATCCCAACTTGAAAAAGACCCTCCTATGACAGGACGACAAGACACGCTGCAGGCTGAGCAAAACCGGCGCTTGTATACCAACAATATCCCAAAATCGTTGATGATTGTGGATTGGACTGAACTTCCTGAGCGCCACCAATAGAATTTGCACATCTCTGGTACTTCTCAGTAGAAGCATCTCTCAAACAGTCTCGATCGGTTGCAAACATCAACTCGACTGGCGTGTGAACACTGGACACGCACCCTCACAGAAAAAAGAACTACAGAAATCTACAGAATACTTGCCTACACATTTGATCAAAGACTCATGGTAGGTGATGGGGGTTGAGGAGAGGCACCATTCGTCTGAGATTATGCTTGAGGTCTGATGCAGACTACCCTGCACGGGGGTAAAGAGGTAGGTTTTTCTTCGTCTGCTCACTGGTCTCACTGGTCTCACTGGTCAGGTAATCTCATCCATATCGCTGCAATCTCTGCATCGCCATGCCTTCGTCTTTCCCTTTTTCTTGAGGGCCTTGAGCTCATCCTCAGGGTGCAAAAATGCGAAACCATTGGCAACCCAGTTGAGCCTGAATCCAGTTCTTCACTGGCAAATCCTGAAGCCCCTTTACAACGGTGGTCCTGCTGCTTCTTGAATTCTTTGTCCATGGTTGCCTTTTGCTGCAGGTGCATCTTCTTAAATGCAGAGTAGTCACCTCGATAGTGGACCAGTTTTTTGTCCTGAGCACGCTTTGTATTTAAAATCATTGGAGTCTCATTGCACGGGAAGTCAACACTAATGTGGGAAAGCATCCTAAAGCATCCCAAAACATCCCAAGACTAACTCTGAAGGTGCGACAACGAAATATGTTTGTGCGTGACGGGCCGGAATTGACATCTTGCCCAGTCCTGGAGGTGCAAAATGTCTGTACCTTCCAAAGCAGTAATTGGCAAAGAATACGGCCAGCGTGGCAAGAACAGGTATACTGGTAAACCCTCTAAGAAAAACAACTGGTAAGAAGTATACAAAAGCTATTCGCAGGAACCGGCTCTGCAACCCTCTGCAAGAATCGACACTTGAGACCAGAGGTTGCTTCACGAAAGCTAGGCAAACTCAAATATCTGAAAAAACAGGAGTTATGCATGTTACAGTAGTATCATGAGAAAAGTATGAGTTTCAACATCTTTTATGCAGTGCCACACTCTGCCATTGCATGTGCGCCGTCTTGCGTCTATGCGTCTCGTCTTTGAATGAAGTCTTCAATCTTCAACGGTGTTAAAAGGACATGTAATGTTCGTCAGTTTCTCATCTTTGGCGTGCCATACGCCCATGCAAAGGGAACCTAGCGCTTCTTGTGAACGGAACTCTTTCTTGCTGTTTCTTGCCTCTCAGATCAGGAGGGGTCGTTCTTTCATGTTCTTTCCGCGTTCAAAGTTTCAATTGCAAGGACCAGAGCCGTAGAAGCTTAACGAGATACATTTAGATACTATGGAAATTGAGTTAGTACGAGTAATTGTGTCGGAGGTGGTTTCATCATAGTTCATCTTGTATTGATCCTACAGCAGGTGTCCGCTGAGCTGCAATGCCAAAAAATGAGACCGCTAACAGCAACTTCTACAATATCTCCGGATTCAGCTCCGTTGCCCATGATCAGGGTTGCGTGCTTACCACGGGGGTCGATACATCGAAAATGTCCTAAAAGTTCCGTGCGTATTGAAACTAGTGTCAGGATGTGCCCGCTTGAAATCCTTGAAATCCTTTCAACATATTTGAAGTTCAGATGCTTGGAAAGGAAACGAAAACTCTATCATGGGAATGTCAATTCTAACGTCTTCGGGTCACCCCGCTTTATGATGCAAAGGAAACTGTATCGCATGCAAATTGCATACACCTCAGGCCGCAATACCAGGAATGTTCGAAGCCCTTCAAAGGCCAAAAACGAAACACGCATAACAAAAAACGGTGAATGGAGTACAAGGTCTTGTATTTTGCAATGCAAGAAAAGGCACCGCAAAAATCGAAAACACAAAGTCTGCGCAGCACTGCCCAATATCTTGGGCACTGTGCATACTGCCATGCAAACGACATTGATGATGTCATGATTTTGATTCAAATAAATGTCAAATAAAGTGTCGCATGGATTTCGGGCGTTCAGAAGGCAATGTAAAACCATTGTGCCATTGGTTTAGGTCTTTCAAAGGTAAAAGGATGGACAGGACAAGATACACAAAGTAATGTGGAGTCGTCCGTTTCTTCCTGGTGGAAATGCCATCAAAAACCGAAAAACAGAAACTGACAAAACACCAATAAACACAGTACAACGATTTGGTCGTGAGACTATGATTCTCAGTGACAGGTGGAACGAGGTCATAAAGGAGATAAAATCCTGATGCGACGCTGATAGGAGTTGTTCTTGTTTATTTGTTTGACAGGGGGCAAATCCCTCTACACATGCGAACTTCTTCTTTGCAATAAATCATGAATGTGCTATTGCATTTCGATCTTTAGGGAAAATACATCGCAAGACGTTTTCCCGAATGCGTAGTGAAGGGTTCTTGTTTTCTTTCTGGGGGTCTGGGGGTGGTGGACTGTTTGTGGGTCGTTTTCGTTTTGCGGTTCTCTAATCTTGTCGCCGCGGTGTCTATGGGGAAAGTGAAAAGGCTGATCTTTTGTGACGTGTGAAGGTGCATTTCGCGTGGCATGCGTAGGACTTTGTGGCACTCAGGAAAAAGTTGCTTCGCGACTCTCTAATTACGTTGCCGCGTGCTGTCTATGGGGAAAGTGATAAGGGTGATCTTTTGTGACGTGTGAAAGTGCATTTCACGTGGCACGCGTGAGACTTTTTGGCACTCAGACAAAAGTTGCTCCGCGACTCTCTAATTACGTCGCCGCGTGCTGTCTATGGGGAAAGTGATAAGGGTGATCTTTTGTGACGTGTGAAAGTGCATTTCACGTGGCACGCGTGGGGCTTTGTGGAGTGGAGAGTGTGAAGTGTGGAGTGTGAAGTGTGAAGCGTGAAGTGTGGATTGTGAAGTGTGAAGCGTGAAATGTGCAGTATGAAGTGTGAAGTGCGAAGTGTGGAGTGGAGAGTGTGAAGTGTGAAGTGCGAAGTGCCAAGTGTCATGTGGAGTGTGGTGTGTGAAGTGTGAAGTGTGGAGTGTGAAAGTGAGAGGTGTGAAGTGTGGAGTGTGTAGTGTGAAGTGTGAAGTGTGGAGTGTGAGTGTGATGTGTGGAGTGTGACGTGTGGAGTGTGAAGTGTGAAGTGTGAAGTGTCGAGTGGAGAGTGTGAAGTGTGAAGTGGAGAGTGTAAAGTGTGAAGTGTGAAGTGTGCACTGTAGAGTGGAGAGTGTGAAGTGTGGAGTGTGAAAGTGTGAAGTGTGAAGTGTGGAGTGTGAAGTGTGAAGCGTGAAGTGTGGATTGTGAAGTGTGAAGCGTGAAATGTGCAGTATGAAGTGTGAAGTGCGAAGTGTGGAGTGGAGAGTGTGAAGTGTGAAGTGTGAAGTGCGGGGTGTCAAGTGTGAAGTGTGGAGTGTGAAGGGTGGAGTGTGAAGTGTCGAGTGGAGAGTGTGAAGTGTGAAGTGTGAAGTGTAGAGTGTGAAGTGTGGAGTGTGAAGTGTCGAGTGGAGAGTGTGAAGTGTGAAGTCTGCAGTGTGAAGTGTGAAGCGTGGAGTGTGAAGTGTGAAGTGTGGAGTGGAGAGTGCTAAGTGTGGAGAATAAAGTGTGAAGTGTGAAGTGTGAAGCGGAGAGTTTGAAGTGTGAAGTGAAGCGAGCTGTGGAGTGTGAAGTGTGGAGTGTGAAGTGTGGAGTGGAGAGTGTGGAGTGTGAAGTGTGGAGTGTGAAGTGTGGAGTGTGATGTGGGCAGTGTGAAGTGTGGAGTAAGCCGTGTGAAGTGTGGAGTGTGAAGTGTTAAGTGAGGAGTGTGCAGTGCAGAGTGTGGAGTGGCGAGTGTGGAGTGTGAAGTGTGGAGTGTGAAGTGTATTACTCTGTGCAAGATTTGCAGTATAAAGTAGTACTGTGAGGTACTGTGTGGACGCTTTGTAGTACAAAGTAGTACTGCGAGTTGTTCCAGATGTGTCAAGCAAGAGTGTCCAACAAGAGTGGCTTACAAGAGTGTTTCCGAGTATTGGGAGAGAGTGTTTTACCAGAGTGTGCCACAAGAGTGTGGAGCAAGACTGTCAGGCAAGAGTGTCTCACAAGAGCGCCCCATAAAAGTGTTCCACAAGAGTGCCCCACAAGAGTATGCCACAAGAGTGTCACAAAAGGGTGTCCCACACGATTGTCTGAGAAGAGTGTCAAGCAAGAGTATTCTGCAAGAGTGGCTTTTAATGCGATCGAGCATCTCCTGTTCGCTTTTCATTGTTCTGTAGGAACCCTTCTTCTACGTGAGCTTAAAACAAACGCATTCGGGTTCGTGGCTTCTATAAGTTTTTTTTGAAACTGAAACCTCTCATTTAGCATATTTAGCCTAATAAAATGAAGAGAAAACTACACAACATCTTGTCGTCTAACGTGCCACGCTAGCCTTTTATTATCATACGAGATAGCGCTATCTTGTTCCGTGCCAAAACCGTGCAGAAGAAAAGAATGAAAATGACATGAGTATGATAACCACACTGATGATGATGATGATGATGATTATCATTATTATTATTATGATAAGGTAGTAATAACCAGGTAATAACCCTGGGAGGAATCGAGCTCGTACAAAAATGTACAAAGCAGATTGTGAGGCATTCGACACCAGACTGCGGCAGGTGTGTTTGTGTGCATGTGTGTGCGTGCGTGAAAAGTATTGAAAAGTAATCTTTAGCAACGCTGCTCCCGGAGCCGGCAAAGCACAAAACAACAACGGCAAACTACCACTAGATTTTGCGACAATGGCAAAATCAGCAAATCACCTGGTCCACAATGAACAATGTATCATACAGCATTTAACTGTTGCTTGTCTGCCATACCCCCACAGGGCGCAAATGCTGTCAAGGAAGTCGGCATCATGGGATACAACCACGACAGCATGCGGATACTGTTCTGAGAGGTAGTTGTCCAGCCACAAGACCTCAATTCAATTTAATTCAATTCAATTCAATCAACTTGTCACGACCGCAATGAACTGGTCGTATCTTGCCGAAGGCCCTTTCAATCGGACATCTCAAGGTCCTCTGAGACTCAAACGGCATCTAGATCCAAGTGGTTTGTAGGCTCATCCAACATCAGAAGCTTGGGTTGTAGGAAAAGGGCCTGACTACAAACATGGACATGTCGGTCTCGAGCCAGTCCGCCATGGAACAAAGCAATGTCAAGTGCCGTCCCCTGCCAAGTTGGTATCAAACAGTATCAGTAGTTCCATGCCGCCGATGGCAACAAGAACGCCACATATTTGTGCTCGCACAACTTGCAATGAAGAAACCAAGATCTGAACAAGTTCTACTGATTTACAACTAGGCTAGATGCTATTGTTTGAAACTGGGAAGTATAGGAAGTGGAGTTCAAGAAAAAAAAGTGACATGTCATGGGGGTCATGGCCTTTGCCAAGCTGATTCGCATCCGCCAGCCGCCAGAGAATTGCACCACCGGCCTTTCACTTGGCCATAGGTAACGAATCGGTAACTGAGAAAATCAATGAAAATTTCTCAGGAAATATCGGAATGATCGGAATATGATGAAGAAACCAAACAAGCCTGTGGAACTTCTGCCGAGCCTGTCCATAGAAAATCGGTCCTCGTCTGGAGAGCCGTTTGTGAAGCCAAGACCTCAAACATGGACCCACTAGTAAGATATAAAGATGCTCTACTAGACTATAGACTATAGCTAATATATATATATAGCAAGATGCACCAACAAGTTCACCAAGCATCTAATCTACGCGTATCTCTGACGGTATCCAATAACTCTAGTGCACATATGGCTTCAGCAAGCAGGGGCTGAGCAGGAGCTGAGCAAAAGCTTTCGAGAGTTAGCCTTTCAGAAACCTTGGCCTCTTGGCTTCTGACCACAAAGAATCTTTCTGACCTTGGATTATCGGTGGCACACTATGAAGAAAACCGCAGTGCTGTCCCTTAAACAAGTAAAGATATAGATTTTAGCAAGAGCACTTCTTGGAGTTGAAGCATTGTGGAGCAGTCAGACAGCTTGTTTGGTCTTTCAGTTTGAGTCACCGTTTCCAAATCGTATTCTGATGTATTCTGATTACCTGTATCTGTATCATCCTGTATCTATCCCCGGGCTGTCCATGCCTGTTTCTGATATCCACATCTGTCTGTCCACCTACCCGTCTATCAAATTGTCGATCTGCATCCATCGCTCTATCCATGGCAGTGCTTGTCTGCTTGCCACAAAAAGCCTTAAGGGGTTCTCCAAGTTAATTCATTCCTAACAATTCCAGAGAGAACAGTTCCAAAACTTTGGCTCAAAATCAATCCAGCTCAAACACAGATGCCTCTTTGATGTGCAGGATTTGTTCTCGGGATTGTTTTTGCGAGGATTGTTCATTTTCTTTTCTCTGCACGACTATGGTTACCAACAGAATCATGGACATTTCAAAAACACATTTTTTCACGCAGCAAACATACAAAACTCTCAGGCGTGCCAAAACTCAAAACAATGTTTTCTTCAAACTTTTAGATCAAATTGCATGACATTGTATCTTTCCTTGCAAGGCTCCATCTTGGACGATGCATATTTCAACGATTTTTCTTGGCGCTAAATGGGGGAGTAACAAGTACAAAATGGAACTTTGAGGTCAGGATCCCTAAAGTGAAATCTCCATCATCTAGATTTCCTGCACGGGTACAGTAGGGTCGTTGCTGCCATGTGTAACGACAATTTGCCTTTCTATGAAAACAATTCTACACAAGTGAATGATATTAATGTTGGAAACAGGTACGACAAAATCGACAAATTAAATGTAAACCTCTGTAAGGTCCACCTGGCAGAATAGCGCTTTCTGGGTTTCTACAATTCTGTCGAAGACTGCATTGTGGATTCCAAGTCTGGGGTGCCAGGTTCCAGAAGGTTCCAACAAACTCTAGACTCTAGACGTTTCCATGGAAAGGTTGCTTGTGGACAAAGAAATCCGAGTCAGTTATAGTTCCGGCAAGGTTCCAAATGCAGTCTCATTCTTTGGATGTATTTGGCGCCAAACGTGAAGATACTTTAAGGATCTTCAAGGTTTTTCTGCTGCTAGGGTCTCACATTGAACTTGTGCAAATCAGGTGGCCAGCAACATTCTCCCGCTTCTATGAATGATGGACTGGCCTAATTCAGTTGGGCAGTTTTGGACTCTCTCGGGGGAACATCTCCAATCAAACCTGAAATAGCGGTCCCCAATTGAATTGATATATATATATATATATATGTAACATTATATGTATATGACTATGATTATATATATATACACAGTTATACACACATAATTACATGTATCTTAATATTGCATCAACCATCAATCCAAACATGCATACATACTGTATAACCATGGTCTCATCCTCCCTCCTCCCTTCTGGGTGGGGGAAACGTGAAAAAACGCAGGATAGGTCGGGATCAATGTTCAGCCTTGGGCTATGTTCTAGTTGAACTCTTCAACCTCGGAACCCTTGAAACCCAGAATTGTTGCATCTTATCATTCTATATTACATTACATTACAATACTCTGTTAACTTGGAAGCCTGGAAGCTTAGAACCTGCAAACCTTAGGGAGCTTCTAGCCCTGGAACCTTGGGAACTCTGTAATCTCAGAACACTGAACATTGAAACTCTCGGACCTTGCAACCCTGAGGCTGTCCAACCTTGATGAACCTTGTACCATATTGTACCTTGGAACTCTGGAGGAACCTGGGAAATCGCGAAACCTTGGAACACCCGAAAACTTGGAGCCTCGAATCCGCCGTGACCTCACAGGACCGAGTACAACCCCGGAACCATTGTGACGGGCCCGGAACCACCTGGAACCTCTGTTGGCGTAGGCGTGACACATTGCGGACAAACTACAGCACACACATGCAAACACCGTGTTTTAAATTCAAATGCTTCGACTCTTTTCACGTTGTTAGCTGTTTTTTGGTTTCTTTTCTACGGTTCGCGGTGAATGGGCAACACAGCAAGCAGCCATGATAATTCGTTGTTTTTGTTTGCGATCTTTGAAAGCTGGTTAAACTCATTTGGGTGCGCCTTTTGCATACACAAGAGGCCATGCCATCGTCGGCTGATTTTTGGCGCTTGTCTAACTCGTCTTTTGACTTTTCATTTGTAACAAAAACATACAAAAGCCAGCTGACAACCAAGTACAATAAGAATATTTCTCAAGGCATTCAATTGCCAAACCACCCAAAAAATCTGGGATCTGTAGTTCTGGAACGTGTGCAGAATGAATCAGAAACATGACAAAATCCCCCACACAAGCGACTTGAGATGGGTCAATGCAGGACCGTAGCTGATCAGCAACAGCTTCAGCGAAGGAACTCTCGCTTCTGCAGAATCGGCTCCAATTGCCTGACAAATTGATTCATGTGTATATATATATGTATATATATATATATTGATATTCAACATATTTCAGCATATTTCAAAATATCTCAAAATCAAACTGAAAACCAACTTGACGCCCTCTTGCTACGGTTTTCCATATGTATTCCTATAATTTCCTATTCCCTCTATTTCCCTCTATTTCCCTCACGCTGAAACCTCCAGTTCGGCGGAGGTGCTCTCCAATTCAGTTCGGGTCCTTGAGCCCGGGCCAAAGATGCCAAAATGGCTGCTTGATGACATTCTACAAGCCATACAGGCCATGCAGGCATATGCAGGCATATGCAGGCATATGCAGGCATATGCAGGCATATGCAGGCAATTCAAACTATAGGAGAAAGTCTGCACAGGTAACCATAGCCAGAAGTTGCTCTTAACATGTTGCAAACATTCGGTTTCATCCGGTTTATGTATGAAATTACTACCGGAATTAAGTTGATCTGCCTCAGTGTCTGCAAAAGTTGTCAATGCATTCGTTTGCAGGTCCTTTCTACCTCCTCTGCACTGATGTCTTTTCCTTGTTCCATATCTGTCTCAATGTCCTGAGACAGCGATGCTGTGCTGCAAATCTCTGATCCGCAACATCACACAAACGGACATAAAACATATTTAACAAAACAAAACATCACATCACCTTGCATTACATCAGATCACATCACCTCACATTACATTACACTACGCTACACTACATTACACTACACTAAACCACATTACACTACATCACACTACATTACACTACATTGCACTACATTACACTACATTACACTACATTACACTACATTACACTACATTACACTACATTACACTACATTACACCACCTTACACTCATGTTTTGCACTACGTTACACAACATCACGCAACCTTACATTGCATCACATTACATGACACTACACGACAGTACACTACATTATATTCCAGTATATATATATAATTCTCATACAAACAAACACCCACACACAAAACACATCCATACAAGTAGTGCCCCATACCTATCACCAAATAAGGCAACATTTGCGCGCAGTGAAATTTGGCAATGGGACACGTCCTCCAGCTTTTGTAGAAGCTCTGCTTCTCTTTTGATCAACTCCGCAGCCCTTCCGAAAAAAAGGGTCACACATTGCGATGCAAGCAGATAAAGCAAATAAAGCAAATACTCTTCCATATCTTGGCAATGTTTTCTCGTGTGTGCAGTCTCGATGGTCTGTTTAACATCAGTGTGATGTCATCACTTTGCCTGAGATCAGCTGCAAGAACTTCTTCGACCGCTGATCGCTCCGTCGCTTTGGCTTCTTGCTCCACAAGAATTACATCCCAATTGACAGGAACTGGCCTCAGGGTGGTCAATGGATCTCAAGGGCCGCTTGGGAACTCGAGGAGCATGGAAAGACTATGAAACAAAAAACAAACATACCCGCGACTGGATTTGACAAAAATAAAGGTCATTCGACAAATAAAACATTCACAGTGTCCAAAGAACAAAGGTGGCATCTATACGTCTAGGGGCACTTCGTGACACCGCTTTCCCTTCAGTTATCAATTTTTCTGCATGTCTGGAGAGGAAGTGATTGCATGCCCTTCACATCACAACTGAACCCAGAGAGCACGAATGTCCAAGAGGAGGTCGAGAGCTGGACTGCAAGGTCAAGGTCAAATATTCCTTGTCCTGATCCTGCTAGCTGTGTACCATTGTGTACCATTGTGTACCTATTCCTTTCTGTAAATGATACCCAATGTAGTGAATGTAGTCCTAGATCTGTCTGCAATCAGTCTCTTTTTTCCGGCTTTGCCACCGATTCCCTCGGAATCTCTCCTTCTCTGTCATCGCAGTTGCATGTGCTGAGTTCTCCGCATCTCGCGGGCAGCGATATGTCGGAGCAGGGTTGTCTTCCCCTGTGTGAAGCGATGCACGTCGACATCTTCAGGCTCTTCTACAATTTAGACTACAATGCTGATCATACTACACTTTGTTCGGCCTAGAACTTCAACACTGCGAGCATAACATACTCTAATACCATAATATATATATATGTATATATATATATCTATATATACATATGTAAATATATATACATATGTAAATAAATATATATATAAATATACATATGTATATATATATATGTAAATATATGTATATATATATATATGTATGTATATATATATATTTAGTAAGTAAATAAATAAATATGTATATATATATGTATATATATATATGTATATGTAAATATATAAATATATATGTAAATAAATAAATATATATATATATATACGTATATACATATGTATATATATATATGTATATGTATATATATATATGTATATATATATGTATATGTAGATATATATATATGTATATGTAGATATATACATACATATATACATCTATGTGTATATATATATATATCATGTTCAGCTTTCGCATGCTTTAGCAACTTAGCACAAGGTCTGACTGCACCATCTGCACCTCCTCTACAAGCAAACTCTAGAAAATCAACAAAAGGCAAACCGCAAATGCACGGAACAAGTTCACGGATAAACTCGCAATTTCAGTCAAATGGGAAAGGAGTCCTGCCATTGCTTCACAGCTGATTCTGATGCGTAACTTATCCGACCTGACCGTTGGGCCCGAGAATGCCATAGCGATGGCCCTGGACAATGGTAATACTAGCCTTGGTGAATTTTCCGGCTCGCAACGCAGTGGCAAAGAGCGAAAACAAATTGATCCGATGATCCTGTTGAATGGTGCAGTGATTCAAAGCGATTGAATTGATTTCATTTGATTTTCACACTTCAACCTGGGCAACATTGGGGAACCGTGCGTTGTCAAACAAGGTCTGTTTCGGAGCAGACAATGAAAAGTTGTTGCAAACGAAGGCATCCCCGGAAGGAGGCGGCTCGTTCTTGCCACCCTGGAGCGGACACAGGAACAAAGAGAACAAAAAACCAAGGACAAGTGGAGTAGAACCTGCAAAAATGATCAAACATGTAACAGCGCATCTGATGTTTTCAGACCAAGAAAACATGTCTTCACACACACACACACACTAGACAAGAAATGGACCATTGAAGTGATCCGTTGGGAACTGAATCCCCTCACATGCAATTAGATTAGAAACAAAGACCAAAGGTAGATCTCCTCGAAGTAGTACGCGAATAAATTGAAGGTATTCCGAAAACGTCGGTCATGAATAAAACCAGATTCCAAAAGGCCAAATAGATTCCAAATAAATGGTCGTGTCAGGGTTCTCGGCTTAGCCCTTCGCCATGTCCGTAGGAATACCATGTAAACAAAGTTTGAAATGACGACAACGATGATCTCAGATTGCGACAACCGTGTAAAACCAACATTTCTGTTGTCGGGGTTCTTGGCTTAGCGCCGCGCCACAAAGACGGAGAAAATAATGCAGGTACAAGTGGTTGATCAGACCACTCATCCACCGAAATGCCATATCTTCGTTGGACTGGAAAGGCAAATCGGCTCCAGTCCCCCTGCAAGATAAAAAAACAGAGGTTTTACATCTATTCAGATGTTACACACACACACACCCGGTCGGAGCCGGGTCGACCGTGAAAGGCAAGAGGAAGAAAAAAGCGGACACAAACGACGGGCAAAAGGCCAAAACAGCGCAGGGGGGGAAGGGAACAAACGGACATCCAGAACCAACCTACATGGCGAGACGGACGTAACCAACACAGAGCACACACCTAAACCCCACGACACATACAGAGGTGCACGGGGGAAAAAATTAGGGACCGAATGGGGGGCAAGTTGGTGACGAAAAGCGAAGCAACAAAATGACAGTAAAAGGGGAACTCAGTTCTGTCCTAAAGAGTCGTGCGTTATTCCAAAACGGGACCGTGGTCGATCAAGCCACATGGACTGCAACAGCTGTTCAAGTTCAGACGAATTAGATGCACGATATGTTCAACCTCACCAGAAAATCATCAAAAGAAAAGAAGCCAAACCTGAAGAGCATGGACCTACCTGAGGTATTCGTCATGTTGCATGTGGCAGCTGAAGCTTGAGCATTGTTGAAAAAGGAATTTCTGGCTGCTCGGCGTTGCTCCATTCAAGTAGAGGTGAAAGTTCCAAGGATTCACAAGGACAGCAGGAGCGGCGAGAAAGCATAAAAAGGGGGTGAACGGAATGGCCAACTGTTGCACAATACTTAAACGAATTACTGAGTTAAAATGTGTCAATTCGGATGTCCAGTCGGTCAACGTTCACCTTAAGAAAGGTTCCCTCAAGTGGGTCCATGGCACCTTGTCGGAGCCACCATGGAAGTGACACTAGACAAGAAATGGATCATTGAAGTGATCTGTTGCGAACTGAATCCCCTCACACGCAATTAGATTAGAAACAAAGACCAAGGGTAGATCTTCTCGAAGTAGTATGCGAATAAATTGAAGATCCCCTTGTGGTGCACCCAGATGGGGTTGAACCCCTGAAAAATAAAATGAAATCAAGGGCACCCAGGCTACTGACCCCCAAAATGCAAAAATGAAATCAGGGGAGTTCAACCCCACATGTTGCGCAAAGAGAAAATCATCAGTATCATCAGTCATCCAACTGAGGGGTTTGCAAAAATAAAATCAAGAGGTTCCAGAAATAAAATCAAGAAGGTTCCAAGCCAGCATCCAAAATGTTCCAGAAATAAAACTGAAGGGTTCAAGGTCAGCATCTGTGTTTGTGAAATCATCTGAAATCTCAACAAAATCTATCAAATATTGAATCCAAACATATCCAAACCCAGCTTTTAAATATGTATTTCAAGCTTTGTAGAAGCAGAATGGTGTAATCAGGTAATCACAATCCATAGTTTTTTCTTTTTCGTGGCGTGATAGCCATTGTTTTCATCATGTCTTGTCCACCAATTCCAACACAAGAGGTGTGTTCCAACATGTTCCAACAAAACAAAAAGGTAAGCAAAACGCAAAAATAAAACCAAAGGGACCCAACCTAAAGCTACTCCACCAGCTGCATTGGGGTTGGTTCTTGGTCTTGGCCCATGTCTCAAAAATAAAATCATAGGGGTCTGACTTACTCAAAACTTATGATAAGCACCTTTTGAAAAATAAATTTAAAAATATTTTGGGCTCAAACCCCTTGACTTTATTTTTGAACACCGCTTAGGGATATTGAAGGTATTCCGAAACGTCGGTCATGAATAAAACCAGATTCCAAAAGGCCAAATAGATTCCAAATAAATGGTCGTGTCAGGGTTCTCGGCTTAGCCCTTCGCCATGTCCATAGGAATACCATGTAAACAAAGTTTGAAATGACGACAACGATGATCTCAGATTGCGACAACCGTGTAAAACCAACATTTCTGTTGTCGGGGTTCTTGGCTTAGCCCCGCGCCACAAAGACGGAGAAAATAATGCAGGTACAAGTGGTTGATCAGACCACTCATCCACCGAAATGCCATATCTTCGTTGGACTGGAAAGGCAAATCGGCTCCAGTCCCCCAGCAAGATAAAAAGAAAAAACAGAGGTTTTACATCTATTCAGATGTTACTTACACACACACACACGTCATCCTGGAGCTAAACTCTTTGTTGCCAGCGTGTGTGATGAGCGCATCTCAAATAGCTTCTTGACATCCTGCTCTTTCCTGATCTTCGATTTCCCGGCTCTGCTGCTTTTGATACTGGAGAAAGAAATTGGATGGCTGAATTACATACGCATTAATGCTAAAAGTTGTTTGGTTTTTCCAATGATTGTCTGAGTTTTCTAGGGTTCTGATAGTCGTTTTTGTTATAGTTATACCTATTTGAGTTTGAGATGCTTTCAGCACTCGAATCGTGTCCCAATCGATGCATGCCTCCAGAGAAATGCTGAAGGCGTTCAGGGTACCGATTGGCTCGTCGTCCTCATTCTTGTATTGAACATTCCTTGGAACTTGGAACCATTTGAAATCATTTGGACATGTTGAAATATTGTGGAATATCGTGATGCGCAGCCGACTTCTTATGAGCTCTTAAATGCGCAAAGACAAAACGTACACACACACAAATATACACAAATCTAGCAGTGGCCTTCGCGCCCAGAGACACCCCAGGAAAGTCCCTTTACAAACCCAACCCAGGCAGAGAATGAAAAATGTCTCAGGGTGCCGCTTTTCGTTGTGCTTGTCAAGGACGCGCTTCTCCTGCACTTTTTGGATGTCTTATCTTCAAATTTGTTGCATCCAATCGTTCTGGTCAAACAGAAGAATGAGCCCAGGTTTCGTCACGTTGGTCTTGCACAAACATGTCCCAACCGTACAATGACTTCCCAAGCTGTGGAAGTAACGTCCGGAAGGAATTCAAAGAAACATGGCAGCACAGTAGTAACCTTGCTTTCTCCGTGACTGTACAACTGACAAAGTAATGGTTGCACACTATGTTTGAGTCCCCAGTATGCAACAGGGCCAGGAATCCAGAACTCTAAATCACATGTGCGGCCGAAGCGATTTGAAGAAAGGTTTCCTTACCATCTGAAGCAGGCATGAAATGGCATGAACACAAACAAGTTCAAAACGGGCTACCAAGGAGCTGCAATCTGGTCAACTCTGATCATTTGAGGCCACGCATCTCAAAACCCAAGCCAAAACAAGCCAAGCATAAACAAGCTATTTGTGCCCTCAGGGCAAGAAAGAGGTGATGTAGTGAAATCATGTCAGAGACGAGTCTCCAAAAGAGCACACATGAAACACATTAAAGACATGCATTAAAAAAAACTGATTTAGTTTGGAACCAGAATCCAATGTCCAATGCTTCGTTATCTTTGGCCTGAAATTGTCTGTGGCACTTGACAGGCAAAGAAGGTGCCCAGTGTAAAAAATGGTTTCAACAACTGCAAAAAAAATAACTGATTATGACGGCCTGATAATAAACATGAAGTTTGCATAGGTTTCCCGTCCAAACACCGGTTCGACATCCTTCAATGGCCGTGCCAAGCTCCGTTCCAAGACATTATCCGCAGCACTGATAATCCCCGTGTGGTGCCAGGGAGAGAGGTGAGCCCCTTAAAAAAATGTAGGGGCCAAAGGGAAAAAACACTAAATAAAATGATGGGGGCAAAAGGTAAGATGGGAAAATACCAGCTATACATACTTAGAAAAAACTGGGGTTAGGCCCCTCCCAAATGGCAAATGTTGGAGGTTGGGCCCGGCCCTGTTTTTTTTTCCTTTGTCAATCTTGTTATCCTCCAACATCTTCCGACATCTGCAAAACAAATATTTTGTTTTGTACTCATTGCTGGATGATCTGGATGATCTTGTCTGTACATTGGATTTTTTCCAAACTGCCAGGGCCCACAAATTAAAGACACATATTCTTCAGACATGTTCGACGAAACATATTCTTGCTGCAAGTACTGGGAAACTAGGCTGCAAAAGTGAATGCCGAGAACCACCCTGGATCACAAGCCCCAGCAGGCAACTAATTTGCACGCTCCTTAGACACTGGTATGGTCATTGCAATGTTGACCCTTGGGCATCTTCATTCTATTGTGGGAATTTGTGGGAGAATTCTTGACAATTTGCCTGATTAGGATTGATTAGGTCACTAGGTTCCTTTGTTTGAGGATTTGTTTGATACTTTTTTGAGCCTCAGTTTCATGGCGTTTTGATAGCATTTTTTTGGGCCATGCACTCCTGCTAGAATCAAATGAGATCGACAGCAATTGTTGTTTCAAAAAATGCAAAATGTTCACAGCGGTGCATCTCTGTTATCATACTATCTCTGTCAGTTATGTTTTATGGGTTAGGGCCCTAAAAGAAAAATGACCCAAAAAACGTAATGATGGTGTCTGATGCCATTTCATTTCAAGGGTCTGCGCACATATATATATAATATTTAAGGGGCTCCAGCCCCCCCCATCTATTTGGGCACACCAGTGGAGGATACTAATAGATCTGATAGATTCAGAAAACAATGAGAGGTCTGAATGTGGAGGGTTGAAGTGTAGCTTGTGATTCTTCATCATAATCATTTCTATTTTTCTCATGGGTTCCATGTTTTCCCGCCTTATTTAGGTCATGTTATTTTTTTCTACAAGTATACAAAGGCGCAACCACGCGCAACCTATGCATTTGTGAAATGCTGTACGTGTAGGCACAAGATGGCACAGGTACCTCACAAGTCTCAAACTTATAAGAGCGTCTTTTGCATCACTTTTCCATACTTTTCCTGTGTGAACAGTTCCATACCCTCCCACCATCCAACAATAACGAACCTTCTGCACCATGCTGCACCTTGTTCGACAGCTTTTCTCCAGCTTCAGCCTTCTTGAGAATGGCCTCAGCCGTCACTACAAAATTAGCTGCAGCTTCCCGTTGTCCTTGCTCTGCACAATGCTTGCACTGACTTGCACCCCCCCAGCAACTACGCAACTACACGCAGCTCCTCCAATTCGTCGGCTTTTGATGGTGCTTCCTGTTGAAGGCAGCAGAAGAACCGACTCAATCCGAGTGCCAATCCAAAAAAGAATCAAATCCATTCAAATCCGTCAAACACAGCAGGAGCTCACCGGACTGGGTATCTGAATGCTTATGGCCTTCACTTTGAGACCATATGTTTCTTGATAGCTTTTTCAGTGAATGGGGCTTCAAGACTGCGCAAACTATTCTGCATCAGGATGGTTGCCAGATCTTGAAATCTCCTTTTGCTCCGGAAGAGAATACTTTTCCAAAAGAGCTCAGATAACAACGTCTGTTAGCAAAAACATGTCCAAACCTGCCACTGCTTGCTGTGATACACGGAGTTCTTAGCAATTTATCGTTATTCATCTCTAGATATCCCTTCCAGTGAACTATTCCCTGGTTGGCCATGCAACCAATGGAAGAATTCCAAGGTGCAACTTTTTGATTCCAAATGTGTTGAAACGCTTTTGATCTCGAAGTGAATTTAATTTGCACCTTGGTTTGCCCTCTACTGTAAGTAAGAAGTTGGGAAACAGTGCCCTTGCTTGTCATTGAACTACGTTTCAATATGTTTTGTGGTACAGGTACAGCAACTCCAAGACTTTCCAGTTTTCCGCTTTGAAGCCAGGCAGCCGGGACCGAGGGGTAACGGGTAACATGTACTGGCCGATACGGCCGACTAGGGCTGGCTGCATCCACAAACCCCTCTCACAGCGCATGATAGGGTTGGTCCCAACACCCCAGCACCATAGGGGAAATGGTGTAAATTACAAGGTAAAATCATCATATCCCCCTGCCAATCCTTCAACAATAGTAGGTTGAGCAACCCCGGTAGATCTGCCCAAATTGTCTCCAAACTCCATGTATTCCTTTCGCTCTGGTTTGCTCTTAGCTTGGCCCCATTCAACACTTTTCCCGACAATTAGTGCATTGGTGTGTTCTTCTGCTTTTTGCGCATCTGTTTTTGATACAGTAGGTGATCTTTTTTCCCACCTGCCAAATGAGGGTCTCTAGATTTTAACAAGACATCCTGGACAAACGAACCAACGAACCGACGAACCCAGCCAGCTCCCAGCCGCGCGGAAGCATGATTGCCAGCTTCATTGGTATCCTCACGTGTACGACCGCTCTATGGCGAGCTCAGCAGCGCTCTAGGCCCACCGGGGCCCACCGGACCCGAAACAAGGTCAACCACACACACCTTCAAGGAGAAGCCCAAATAAAAATAAAATGTCGAAACAAACGGCAGAATAAATAAATAGAATGTCAGAGAGAACGTCAAACGGGATTCTTTTGAATGTCAAAACAAATAGCTGCAGCTGTGCAGAATCCCAACGGTGTGGATCATTTAAAGTCATTTGCCAACATTTGTCAACCAGTTCTTTTATCCTCCTAAGAGGTGGGAAAGGATTGTTTCTGATATCCCACCTATGGCATGGATTCACCACCTGACAAGAATCTAAAAGATCTAGAAGATGCTACAGTATTGTCAGTATTTCTCCGGTCATAGTCAAACCATCTTGGATCCAGAAAATCTTCTTGAGATCTTCCAAGCCTTGGCCGTGCTGCTACTCGACTTGCCAGCTCTCCTGCGCAGCGAAAGGCGAAAGGTAGCAGGTGCAGTGTCTGTGACGCAAGCTCTGCTCGCATGGGTTCCTTGCAGCAGCTTCCTGTCGCTCCCTCAGCTCAAGACGTTTCGTTTCCAAGACATAAGACAAATTGAAATATAGAAATGAATAGAAATTACACAAAAAGAACCGGGAACAAATATCACATGCATTGGATATACAGTATCTAAGTTGTGAACTTTTCGCGCATTTCTTCTTCTGACAGCTGCTCCTTGCAACAACGCGGAATGCAATATCCGGTCTATTGACACCAGCAAAAGTTGAATAGCCTCGCCGAACACATCGGCATGGAAGTCTGGCACAACCTGAGTGAGACACTGGAATGGTTATCTCAGTAAACGCCAAGAACAAGCATGAAGCATCATGAAGCACAACCAGAGCGTCAAGTATCTTCTGACCCTGTGAAACTCTCTCATCGCACTTGCTCTTGCACAAAGAACGTCATCAAACCCAAAAACACATCTTCCATGCTCAATGGGACTCATGAGCAAAGGAGAAATCAATTGACACCAACCATTTACTTCAGAAATCTTTGCAAGCCCAGGAGTTCGAGCGACAAGGGTTGAAGACACCATAAGCGTTCCCAACAGGAGGGGTTTGGACGTCAAGAGAGATTATGTCCACACAGGAGCACGCTGGGCCCTGCTAGGCTGCTAGGGCACTGAGACTGTGCCACGGCAGATCAACACAGCAATACCTTCATATTCTGTCTGCATATGTCTGCATGCAGCTTCTTGGTCTTGAGTCTCTCAAGTCGGCCCTGCCATTTAGGTCACCAACGCAATGCAGCCAGACCATGCAATAACGTAAACTAGCACAGTACCAGTACCATACGACATCATGCAACATGTACCAAGGATAGCGATCGAGACTTGAGAGCACATCACAGCATACCGTTGCATACCGTTGCATCCTAAGCTCAGTGCAAATACCAGGCAAGTCTCAAGACCTGCAGGTGGTAGGGCTGGGGCAAGCTAAGGCATTCCAGGCAGGGTTTTGCGGCCAATGCCGGATGCCTTCAAAAATCATGTTTACTGTATATATAATATGTATATATATATATATATGTATATATAATATATTATAATATGTTTTTGTTCCTTCATCTTTGCTTCAAATCAATTCGGCACTAGGAAACATTGTCGTCAAGAGATGTCAAAAGGGCATATTTTTACAGGCTCATACATGCTAACAAAGAGTGTCTATGTAAAGACGTTTAAAGCTTTTTCAAATATGTTTTGGAAAAAACATGCTTATCATCTAAATATGTTTAGCTGCAAACCCAAGTTGGGCACCTGCTGGTGGTCTTGGCACCTCTATGTGCCTGTTGTCCGGGTCTTTGTAGACCTGCGATCCCAAAATAGATATCCCAGGCCCAGGCTGTTTTGGGGGAAGACTACTAGAAAATGAACTCCGGGACTCTGCAGACTCTGAATGATTTCGAACCTTCTTTTTAACTTCGTGAATTTGAGCTATGCTCTCTGCAAATTCTGGCCTCAGCGGGAAGACGCTGCGAAACACAGTCGGTTTGTGAAGGTTTGTGAACAAGTTTGTTCTGGCTGAATCTGGGCGCAGCAATCTTAGCACCAATATGTCATCGAATGCAGTTTCGACCAGAATGACTTTCAGCATGCAAACAAAGCTGTGGACAGGAATCCATAGTTGATCGAAGGATTGATGCTTCAAATTCGGCAAGTCCAAGAACATCTGAGTACCGTCTACATTTCAGAGACTAAAGTGACTAAACATCAACGTGAAAACGTGTTGATAGAAAACGCACAGCAATTCTTCTAATCCCTGGGAGCCAAGATCTGAACAGACTCGAGGAGGGGAAACAAAAGTCAGAAGGACGTGAAATGGGAGATGCCGCGATGCCGTAATAGAAAGCATTTACAATATTTTTACAAACTTGGTGAATGGGATCAAATAAGTATCTCAATTCTGAAATAAATGGATCCACCATTGTGCCAAGCTTTTTTTCTGCGTAGAATATATAATCTGTTCGAATCTATTTGGAATGTCCATCCCAAAGTATCAGACAGAAAAACCAATCACAACCTTGACATCCCTCAAGAGCCAGTCTGCAAAATCAGTTGACTTCTTCACTTTCATACCTTCAACGTTCTAGTCGTTGATGTGAAACAAAGTCACAAGCGAATAACCAACCCATGAGCCCCTCAGAGGGCAAACCAAAGGCTTTTTGAGTTTTCTACTTTTACTGCCTCTGTGAGGCTGCTGGGCGGCAGTGGCATGGACGTGCAATGCGTGCAGTGCACGCAGTGCGTGCAGCTCGCTAGCCCATGGAATGCAAAGGATGTTGCAAATGACCAGAACCAAACAGAAGTGTCCTATGCTCCGACAAGTATCTGGGACGGTGTTCTACAATGATTAACAGGAGATGGAAGGAATGTATAAGTTTAAGCAACCGAGACTTCAAAAAAGGCCTTGTGATCAATGCTGCACAGGTGCGGCCGGCAGTCCGTATCCGTCTGAACAGAAATGCAAACAGCACACTGTGTCGAACTCTCTCAAACGGTTGACGCAATATCTTGCAAAGTGTGCACATTCTTTGTGAAGTCTGAAGTGCGCATCAAGCCTTCCAAGTCCGCAGAAACGGGTCATCCTGGTCAAGGAAAGTCGCACAGGCCACGGCCATTGTGAAAGATAGGGTTGGATCCAAAACAAAGCATTCAGTGACAGCATGTGACAATCAAAGCCATTCAAGTGGCATCTAGCAGCATCCAAATTATCCATGGGGAGCGATGCCGTGACATGCTATTAGGCTGTGCCATGCTCTGCCTCATTTGGAGACTTGCTGAGCGCAACGTACACAGTGGCCGGCCGGATGAGCGTAAGCTTAACGCTTTGCTCCTGACGAAGCAAAAAATGCAGGCCGACAAGCTGGCCAGTGTCCCGGTCCCAAAAAGACACAACCGATACAAATCTAATAGGGTAACAAAAAACACATAATGATAATAATGTAACAAGTAACAACCATTGCTTCCCATGACTTTCCGATGTCCTCCTTTGGACCTCTAATGTAGATGAAGCCCTTGAAAGCCTGTCTTGTGCCAACTTGAACTATGGCAATCGTTGGAGTCAAACAACCTGAACGAGCCTTCATGTCACCCAAGGACTCGAACTGTACATCCTTGTTGGTGAAAAGCTTGTCGCCCACGACTGTACGCGAAGACACCCTTGGTGGCTTGACTTGTCTTGCTGATGTCAGGGAAAGCGCTGGCCCCTTGTACAAAGTTGAACAAAGCTGAGAGCCAGTCTGGCATCGCGAGCCTCCTTGCGCGTTTGCTGTTTTAACAGTGTCCTTCATGATTTCCATCACTTTGATCTTGTCCTGAGACACAGAGACTCGACTCAAATTCAATGCAGTCAAAAATCGTTCCATATTCCTGTTGGCTGATTGTTGTGTTTGTACATCCCAAAGTGTTGCCACTAGGGCCACCACCATGAAGTTTCCCAACCCTGTGCCATCCTGGCTGGTGTTGAAATTCAGCCTATTAAGCTTTGTCAAAACAAATACACAGCGATTCGTTCATACATGCAAAGCACAAACAGTGACAAGACAGGGCTCCCACATGGGATCGCGATAAAAAGCTGTGCGTCAGTGCAGTTTGGGCAGTCAATTTTGCAGGCTTTGCGTCAATCTGATACGTGTCGACCTCTTCTTCCTGTGCCTCCTGTTCCTCGAAACACGCGAAGCAAAACTGATGCATCATGCGCGCCGTGCACCCCGCGCATCTCATGGCATCCCATGGCACTGCATGGCACTGCATGGCACTGCATGGCACTGCATGCACCATCAAAGCTGGAAGTTCTAGGGCCGGCGCTCTTCTAGCAGCCTTCATGGCCTTTGCTTTTTTCTCGGCTTCTTTCCTACAGGCAGGTTCCAAATGATCCCAAGCTCACACCAAAAGGCTGTGCTACCCCTGCAGCCAAGTTCCGTTCTCACAGCCAAACAGGCCACAGTGCTTGCGTCAAGTGAACCAAGGATTCAACATTCTTTAGCATTTTTAAAGCATTCTTTAGCTAGAGTAATTGAAGGTCATGAGTCCGGTCATGAGGACCTGTGGCCACCCTTAAACTCTCTTCGCAACCTCAAGAGCACTCTGCATTGATCCCTTTGTATGGGCAATTTCTGTTTGGTCTGGTTCAATCTGGCGGTTCTTGCGCCGCTATTGTTTTCAAGACACCCCCATATCATCCTGCATTATCCCATATCATCCTATATCATCCTATATTTATTGACGTTAGCTGTACCCAGATTCGAATTCTAAGATATTTCAAATGGATTTCCTTGACCAAAAACCTTTCCGCAGTATCCATTGGGAAAGCAGAGTCTGGGATACTCTGCTCAAACTTTGCTCTGGGGGCATTGGCCCAACATGAAGCACAGCCTGACTTCTTCTTTCTTCTCCTGCTTGAGTCGGAGAAGCTGAACAAGCATCTATACACCGTCCATCGGAGCAGCAAGTCTTGCAATTAACACAATTAACATTCAAATCTGAAATGTATGGAGAAACGGTAGCCTCCTTCTTTTTCTTCAACTGCTGGTCGATGACGTCGCTCACTTGTATTAAGTTTTTGGTCTCTGCATCCTGTCGGACAAGATGCTCGCACTGGTGCTCGTGATAAAGAGTAAAAAAGCACCGCAAGGATCCGCAAGGGGTATAACACAAACCGACCTTTTTTGTTTCCTTCTCCTTTGCAAGTTCTTTCTCTCTTTTGTCTTGGGGAGCCTCTACAAGAACGCAGTCCGCGGAGTTTTCTTGGTGAAAATTGGACCCTGGCTTTCGCACAAAAACGTGCCAAAAGCATGTGGTTCTGGGCGTTCTGGCGTGCCTTGGGACCTCCGTATTGGTTGGAAGCGGTATCGGGTGCTGTTGAAGACCACAGGTCCAACCCTCCGCCTTCCTTCTTTTCCTGCCATATTGCAACTCTACAGTGGTTGAACCATTTTGACCGGCCGAAACTTCCCAAATAAAACTTCGAATAGTCACGTGCCTTTTTCTCTTTCTTTTCTTTCTTTTCATCTTTGTCCTTCTTTTCTTTCTTTTCCTTTTCGTCCTTCTCCTTTTTCTCCTTCTTCTCCTTCTTTTCTTTTTCCATCCCGGCGAGCAGGGGAACTCTTCGAAATGACAACGAGAGCAGAATGCAAGCTGAATTAGGCCAAACACATCCGACACCTTTTCGGCTCTGTGAATGGAGCTATCTACCTCTCAATGGGAACTTTCAATGGATAACATTGACACTATATACAATTTTTGATACGCTTCTTGCGGAGAAGCACTGCATAGCTGGATGAGGAATCGTGCTGGGTGAGTCTTTGGCAGCAAAATACTGCTGCGGCCACAAATCAAGAAGCTTCAAGCGCAGAACGATCATGAACAAACAGAAGCATCAAAATACATCATGCAATCTCTGCCATTCACATTCATTGGCTTTCAGTCTCAAAAGGAAAGGACTGGTAGAACAACTGACCAACGCACCACACCCCTGAAAACCAAGCAGCAAATGATCAAAAATGTTGCCAAAATACAATGCACTGGCTCTGGACCACTTTCTGGCACTGATGCTTTCTCAAGGTAGAACAGAATACTATGGCAAAGTTTCGCCAGTACGCCTGGTTTTCAAGCATACTTCACTGTCCACCAATGATCTATGTTTGCAGTGGCATAAGACAGGTTGAAAACCAGCGAGCCACCCCAATTGAACTGTCAGAAGTTTTCAACTCAGCTCGTGGTCCCTGCAAATACCAGCTTGGCCAACTTGAACAAATGTGAGACCCTATGTCCAGTCAGCTCCGCTCAGCCCTTCGCCTTTGTCACACCGATACAGTAGGTGCTGCATTGTGCAACTCTGTAGCCATGTCTGGCAACCATGCTGCCTCCCCGCTGCTCGAGTTTATTCTGTCTCTCCTATGCCATTTGATCGGATTTTGATACTCTGTTCTTCTATATCGTGATTGGTGTGCAAGCGCCAGAATGAATTTGAGTGGAATGTTGGCCGCAATGCATGATCTCTGGCTCGGGACATGAAGATCACAATAAGGCAGCCTGACAATTTTGACACCTAAGGTGCTGACCCGAGAGCCATTCACAAGGTTCTGGCTCCTCAGAAAGAAGTTGCAAGTAGATCTGCAATTCTGGGTGTGGGAACCAGAAAATAAAGCAATAATGCATCATTCTAAACAGCAATCCAGCCGTCAGGAACCAACGCAAAGCAGTACATCTAGCTAGAGCTCTAGCACCAAGTACGCGGAAGCTGTCATGGATGGCTCTCATGTTGAGAGTATCAGATCGCTCATACTGCAATTCCTATTATGAAATTTATAAATATCTACAAGTCATTTTTCGGTACACCTCCATATGCGTCAGCTGAAACCCTCTGTCACCCAACCCACAGAAGTGGAGCCAATAGCAATGCCTACAATGGCCTACAATACATGTCATAAATTGCGACAAAGCAACCAATTGTTCAGTGGAAGAACACATATTTCACTTGTAAAGGTTGTGCTTAGGATTGCATAATTGCAGGAGGGCTGAAGGAAGAGCAACCAAAACAGCAGCCTCACATCTACAGAATCTGCAGCACGAAAAGCGCTAGAAACAAGTGGCAAAAATGAAGACAAAAGCATGTTCCTCTTCCTCCTGGGCAGATACTGGGCCGCTACCCCACATGCACCAGCTGAGCTATTTGTCACGGAAACCGCAAAAGCGGCATTCTTGGAGTCGTGGAGTAACGGTTGTTTGATGTTGTTTCCTTATTTCATTAGCATCCTGCCTTGCCTTCTTTTCTTGCCTTCATCTCCCTTCCCTGCTTGCTTGCCTGGTTGCTTCGATCCTTTGTTCCTTGTTTCCTTCCTTACTTCCTGTTTCTTTTTCCTATTTTTCTCGGCATCGGAATATCGAGCAACTCACCTTTCGCTGTGAAAAGTTGTGCCCAAAAAACTGCAGAGGCACACAAAGTCCCTGATGGTCCATGGATGTTTGCGCCAAAAATCAACGCAGCAAATACTTCCTACAGTGCTGCCCTACAGCAGGGCGTGAATTCAAAAAAGATCACGCCCTGCACTGAAGCCCCAAAAATCTTTAGACGCCGCAAAGATGTAGTCCTTTCCCCCTAATATTAAACACCCCCAAGAAACTATGGTATAATAGGGGGATTTACACATAATCCCTTCCCCCTAATACTAACCCCCCCAACATAATAAACACCCCAGGTAGTTTTTATTATTAGGGGTGTATTTATTATTAGGGAACCAAAGCGGACTCTAATAAGCAATTTGTTTCGATTTCAAAATAAATTAATTTTCCTTATAAATTTTCCTTATATAAAGCAATTAAAATATTGCCAAAAATTGGTTTTCGAAGCGGCCCCTAATAATAAATTGAAACCCTTAATAAAGAACAACTATGTTTTTTGATTTCAAAATCAATTAAATTTCCTTATAGAACGCAATTTAAATATTGCCAAAAATGGGTTTTCGAAGCGGGCCCTACTAATCAATTAAAAGCCCTAATATAAATAACTAAAAATTTCGGACGGACCTAATAATAAACACCCCGGGGTTAACTAGTTTTTATTATTAGGGGGCGAAACCCACAAATGGTAGCTATATGTTTAAATTGTTTTCTAAAGGGGATCAATTAAAAGTCAAATTGGCCAACCTGACATTTTCCAAAATTAGAGATGGACCCTAGTTTTTACTATTTGGGGGAGGTTTAGTAATAGGGGGAAAGGATTATTTGATCATATTTGGGTTCGTTTGGGGGGTGTTATCTCTGTACAGGAGAGCAGGACGTGGTGAGAGTGCACTTTTTCGTTGTTTCTTCAAAACTGTAATCACTTGCTAAAGCTTAAGCTACAAATGAAGACGTTCATGTCCACCAGAGAGTATGTATTGCTTGAAGAAGTGTCCAGGTGTTCACTCTACCTTAGATAAATGCTACAGTGTCCCTTTAACAAAACGCAATTTCTACAGAATATGCTAGATGTCTTCAAAATAATTACAACATCCCGATAGCTGCCAACATATGCAGTATTCAAAACAGAAATGCACCATACCCTTCTTAACAAATGTAACCTTCCTTTGGGGCAATGCAGTGTGTTCTTGCAGGAAGAATATCCCTACACAATATGAAGGATTCCTTTAAAAGATACATCATGCCCTTTGAAGGAGTGTAGTGTGCATTTCCAAATGTCTAACCTTCCTTTCTCATGAGCAGTATCCGTTTCAGAAAAGCCAATATTTCTGCATAGTATACAGTATTATTGGCATAGAGTCTCCCTCTCAAAAGTGCAATATATTTGAACATGTGAGCATCATTAAAGAATGTTCTTTCGCTTCTTACAACAGAACATGGTTCTGTCTGGCAACACAATCTTCCTATTAAGAAGCAGCATTCTTAAAAAACGATTACTTTTGTTTGACACATGTATTCCCCTTGATCAGCCCAGCCTTCACTTACTCTGGTTTAAAGAGACAACTCTCACTTAAAGAATGTTTTCAATTTATTCAACAATAATGTTGTATTTTAATCAACTATCTCACTCATATCAAGGGGAGGTTGCACAAAATCAAACAACATGTTCTTCAAGGACGACTGTACTCTTCACAAGAATGCTGCATGCATACAACATACTATATATATACATGTTCAAACACTGTTTCATTGTCTTAGGATTTAAAGCGCCTACATCAAAGGGCATTATTTTCAAAATATGTTTCTTCGTCTTGGAATAATATCAGATTTATGCATTCAGAGAAATGATGTATATAGACTTTTGAAAGACATATATTACATGCTTACATATACCCTATTTTCATTGTTAAAAACACCACATATTGTGAAAAGGGCATTGCATGTGCAAGAGGTTCATTTTTGACATAGAAGTACACATGTCATAGCTGTACAATTTGAGAAGAAATGTGCATGTTGAAGGGAGCACTCATTTCAAAGAGATGCATCACTCCTGTCAAGGGAACCGTTTAAAGTGTTTGAACATGTGCTGACTAAAGGGTTTGACTCAACAATGTCAATACCAAAATCAGTCCTACAAACTCATTGGCTGCATATGTTTTTGCATAGTCTTCTGGCATGTGTTGAACAAATAAATCAAAGACAGAATTGCCTAATCCATGTGCCAAAGCCCTAAGCTTCCCCCAATGATACCTGCATTTGTCCAAAGTTTTTAGAATGTTTTCTAGCGAAACTTCAGACCCAAAGCAAACAAAAAGCAACCAAAAACAAGTTTGCAACCCTAAACTGGGAGAAGTGGCAAAGAGTTAGGTCCTGCCCCTTGTGTTGTTTTGCCAGCCCTTCAAATAAACAACGAACCAAAAAATAATCAAGAAACCCAAAAAAACAACAAACAAAAACAAAAAAATAAACCAAAAAAACAGAAAACAAAAACCTGATAGGATCCAACTCTCCGGTGTGCAATCTTGTTCTTTTTGGTTTGTTGATGTTTGTTGTCTTTCTTTGGTTTCTTGGTCTCATGTTTTTTGGTTTCTTGGAGGAAAGAAACTGCAAAGTGAGAGTGCAAAAGCAAACCCATTGTAGGTGTACAAAACACACAAACAAACGCACTCTCAGGCTGTCACTTGTGATAACATTGGGGGGATGGGATTGAACTACAGCTCTGGCTACCAGCAGCAATGCGACCTATTTTGTTTGGGGACCCCACATGAGTGCAAGTGACCAGCATTTGCGATAGTGCTCCATGATGACATGACATGAGATGGCACACTTTTCGTAACTCACAGTGACTCGACGCCCGAGGTTGCATGTCCTCTATCAGCTTCAGCGGCGTAACTGATTGGGAGCTTCTTGGGGTGACCTGGCTTCCAGCTGGGTGTACGGGAAAATGGCAATATGAAAGGAATGACAAAATGACAAGAATAAGATGACAAGAAAATGACAAGATGCGGTCTCACTCTTTCATCTTCTTTCGCCTTCTAGTTGTATGATGTTGTATGATGTTGTATGTATGTGTAATACAGAAAGAAGTAGTGTACACCACCTATCACCTATCCATGATCCTCAAGGACCGCAAAGAAACGACATTCTCAAGGTGCTCAAAGCAACTTGGACAATCAACACAGGCCAACATCGCGCGAGATCCAGAAATGAACTCTTGCAGCCTGGGAACTCGATCCAATGTTACAAAGAAGGGGCCACAAGTGAGCAGGACAAGACCAATAATTCAAGATAATTCACGTATGTTCAAGTCCAAAACCTTGAGACTAGGACATTGTAGGACTATGATTTTAGCAGAAATCTAAAGCAGAATTAATTCACTGTTTCATTCATACTTGACTTGCAGTCAGCAGGTGCCCATCTATCTTTAGGATTCGCAAGAAAACATCTCAAACAATTTCATCTCACCAACTCTTGCACGTGCCAAATTCTATATCAATAAAACTCGGATCCACCTGGATTGCTTTTACCTAAGGCTTAAGAGATTCTCCTTCACCCAGATCACACATATCACGTACATAAACACACGGAAAAAAAACAAGAACTTATTCGTATCTCACAGGCAGGCAACTTCTTTGTAACAGGGTCAGGGCGGGGGAATAATCCCAGAACCTTCATTCTGAGACTAAAATCAAAATAAACAATCACAGTCTAAACATTATGTTTGACTTCATTGAGCGCATCTTGTTTCACTGAATCTTGTCATAAAAATGCATTTACAACAAAATATAAGAGCCTGAATCTAGCCTTATTGACTTCATTCCCTTCTTCCCCATTTTCTGTATTTCAGCCAAATCATATTTCAGAAGATAATCTGTAACTTGTTCATGATATAGTACTATACATTTCATATCTTTATAATTCTTTAATATTCTTTCTATGTCTTTAAATAGTTCGGAGCCAAAAACTTGAAAGAAGAAATGACATACTATTGGTCAGATGAACGTTGACAATCTATGGTTTGATTTATGCTGAACCTGTGTAGCATTTGGTTTGTTAAATATTGGTCGATCAATCAAACACATTGGTCGAACGCAATGGGGGATTGGCAAAAAAGTGATTGGGGCTTGGTCACAAGGTCACAAGTAATGGGGAATTGGTTCGAAAGCCGAGGCGAATTGGTGAACTTGAGTGGAGGGTTGGTCAAAAAGTTACGGGGGATTGGTCTGTCTCTCGTGGAAAAAGCAGAGAATTTTTGGGATTATGGAGACTGGTAGAATTAACAGCCAGTGCAAGAGGGGCAAACAAATGATTCGAAGAGGCAGGGAGGAAAGAGAACTGAACAAGGCTGAGCAGTCAAAAGGAAACAGAAAAGATCAAGATGAAAAGATTATGCTGATTAAAATGAATTAGGCTAAATGATGTTCAGGCCCAAATTTTTTTGTACGTGTCTTTTTTGACAAGATTTAGTGAAGAAAGAGTCGCTCAATGAAGTCAAAATGTAATGTTTAGCCTTTTCTATTTTGATTTTAGTCTTAGAATGAAGGTTTTAGGTATTTCTTGGGGGGCGCTAGATGGCTTGGTCGCACTTGACGTGAACACTTGCAATCTTGCAGAAGTGGAATGCTTCGTCCAAGGTATGCAAACAAGTCTTGACTTTGAATATGTGCAGCTGTGAGAGCAAGTTTGTGTAGGTTGAGGGCACAGAAGTCAAAATCAGTGGATGTGTCTGTCTGTGGTGGTTTGCGCCTCAGAAGCTCCGACTCAGCCGCCTGGCGTCTTTGTGTCTCCTCCAGTACACTTGGAAAGAACCATTGATTGTGGCGAGAGGATGCAAAAGGAAGTACAAGAATGCAAATGGATGCAAATGGCATTGATAATCGATATTGATGTCACAATTCTTGTGTATACATATGTATACATATGTATATATGTGTATTATGTGCATATGTATATACATATGTAATACATATGTAAAGTATTGTGTGTTCTGTGTTATGTATACATATTAGTTTATGTGGATATGTGGATATAATTATATAATATATCATACTATTATATATATATGCACATACACATGATGTATCTATCGCTATCTGCTTGGAGTTGAGCACTCTAATTCATGTTGCGAACACCACTTTGATTGACAAGGTCGTTGCATGAGTAGGTCTAGCTCCAGTCAAGATTAAAGCTGAGGGAGATAAAATGCGTCGAACCTCAAGTAGCTCCATTCTCAAGTGAGAGGAAGATGCACTGCTTGTGCTTCGAGGGGTCTCCCTGGAGCCTCACAAAGATGCACAATCAACACTACTGAATACTACTGATCTGCGAAGGGTACCTGCCACCTCCCTTGAGCCCTCACGTCTTATTGACACACCTTTGTGCAGTGCATTGAGTTGGTGGTGTAGTTGCACATGGCAGTTGACCACAAATGCTGACCACACTCAAAGACAGGTCTTGATTCGATCCTGCAAATGGAGCTAAACATGATTGACATTGCTTGACACATCTTGACACATCTTGACACATCTTGACACATCTTGACACATCTTGACACACCTTGACGCATCTTGACAGATTATTTTATATTATTGTCATGTCTTTGCCTGCTGCTTTCCGGACGCTTTTTGGCGTCGAAGCATTCCTTTCTGATGGAGTGCAAATTGGCCGTCCTTTCCTGGCTCGATTGAAACTTTGGCAGGACTAATCGCGGTCTGGATGGCTAGGATTGGCTTTGGTTAAGGCAGCTTAAGAACGTCTTTGACAAGTCTTTGACAAATATGACTTGTTTATGTGAACGGAATTCAAGTTGGGACGAAGTGTCTGAGACTGGGGTGGAGTTTGAAAGTTTTCATGGGTGACCACGAAGCCCTATTCCTGTGGTCTTAAATGGCGGACGGTCTCGGAGGAGCAAACGCCTCTCAGACTTCTGCCATCTTTTGCTTGCCCCTTTCGTACAACGTCATGTAAAGATGTGTAAAACGGGTTTCTGATGTTTTTTTTCATGAGTACTTTCACATCACCTGTAGTTCTTACATTTTCTTCCCAGTTTTCCGTGTCATCATGCAATCTAATCTATGAGGTGATAATGACTACCATGCAAGAGCTGTCGGGAGGCTCTGGAGGTAACATTTGGCACACCATACTCAGCTGAGATGACTAGCAAAGATTTTGCACAATCCGTTTTTAGTGCCAGGAGGTGGATTTCACAGAGCCTGTCCCCCATCTACGCAATTAAAACGGTTTTGTGACAGCTTACCTCCTTCTTGGGCCATCTTGGGCCATTTCCAAAGGACCTGTTGCATCGGCTCTCAATGTCAGCATAGAATGCCGTGGAATGAGTTGGGATGCCCTGGGTTTGGGCACCTTGTTGGGAGCTGGAGTTTGCTTCCAGTTTTGGTTGTGAAGGGTCAGGGTCATCTTCGAGCAGGGACAAACGCATGTGACACCCTTTGGGTTTTCTGGGTTGGTGTGGAAGCCAGATGTCACAAAGATTTGAACAGATTCGAGGACTCAGTCCAAGTGCCACTGAATAGAGTTCATACCAAAGTTAAGACTGACCAAATGTCAGTCCAATCCATATTATTGAAACGTAAATAAATAAATCAATAAATAAATAAATATATATATATATATCCATATATGTATATATATATATATCCATATATATATATATTTATACATAGACACAATCATACACACACATATATATATATATATATTTATTTAAATACACATGTGCATATATCGTTTAAGTATGATACATAATACAATATACATGGTATATATATATATATTATATTTTGCATTATATATTTTATATTATATGTTTGTATTCAAAATCATTTAACATATTTCAAATATTATCGATTATAATTGATTTGAGTAACAACACCCCCAAAAAAAAACAGAGGAGTCAAACAAAGACGGTGACACCAAGGGGCAGCGGCGGCAACCTGTTTTCGCCATGCTTGAGCCAAACAAGTACGTGGCAACATGTTGACCCGTAAGGAAGGATACTAAACAACTGAAAGGGTATGGGAAATCTCCATTTCTTTCAAGTCCCCCCTCATCATGAACTGTACAGGGTCAAACATGAAATAGCAGTCTACCGAGGTTGATCAGGCCTACGGACGGATGCCTAATTGCTGAGTCTCACGGCTCGGTTGATGATTCCAGGCAAGGGATGTGATGATTCCATTAAGAAATCTTCCATGCCTGGCAATTTCTATCTGTGCACCTCACGGGTGCTTAATTACGGATGCATGAAATCCAATCTAATTACGGGCGCATGAAGTCCACAAGAATGTTGGCGCGGCGCCGGAGCAGCCAATCACCATTATGCGGGAAAAGGATTAAGGCAATCTGACTAATATCCTACGCGATCCTAAACGGATGCTTAATTACCAGTGCATGAAATCCAACCGGATGCCGTGCAAGTATGAATTACCGATGCGCGGATGCAGGGGCGGCGCTGTCGCAGCCAACCTCCATTAGGCACGAATACAAGACTCGAAGATAAGACAATGAGAGTCCAATGACACATCCACAAGAAATGACTCACCAAAATCCAATGGATGAAAAGTTCAAAGATGAGACTTAGTCGCATCCATGCTGTGCTTACAGCGACTTGCCACACCCGGGTGGTGACAAATGGCAAAAGGTTGACACCTGAGAACTACTCCGAACCGTTAAAGTCGACCAATTTAACAGAATTGTGTCAAATGTCATTGGGACGCCGTTGGATCAGGAAGTCAAATAAGTTGACCAAAAGCAAGGTCAACCCCAATGGGACGCCGATGTACGACAAACTCTGTTTTGTCAAGTTTTGCTGTGTGAAAGATGAGGAAACACCTTGTGGAAGCAACTCCCAAAACATCTTCAAAGTGGTATTAAATACAACAAAAAACACTCATGTCATATTGGGACGCCAGTGATTCACCACATGTAGATTGCAAGTGATCACAAGAAAAGCTGCTTTTACCTGTTGGATTCTGTAGGGACACGGTTACCCTCTGGTAAACTAACGTAACTATGGAAAATCACCATTTTTAATGGGTAAATCCACTATAAATGGCCATTTTCAATAGCTATGTTAGTTTACCAGAGGGTAGCTGTTTCGAACGACGTCCGAACGACAAGTCCAATGGGGGATGGCAAAGCACAGGCCCATTGAACTGACAAAATTGACAGATTTAACCTTACAGGCTTAGCCTAAATATATACAATAGATAAGCCCTGGGGATTCGTTGAATGCTGAGCAGGATCAACGAGTTTGAAGACAATGAAGTTCATGAATTGCCTCCATGATTGAAATCCTTAGGATCGACTTAAAGCTGAAATTGACATGGCGCCCAATTGACTGAAGAGTGCGAGAGCGGAAGGACGACAAGCACGCACTTGATGAAAGCTGCTTAGCAGATAAAGTCTAAAGACCATGCAACCACTGAGGCCTTGACGAAATGTTGAAATGAGACGATGACAAACGAGACAGGTAAAAATCCAAAAGCGGCAAAGAGGATCGGCAAAGCACAAAACTCCAATCCAACTAGGCTAGGCACAGCACAAACTTCATTGGATCGACCGGCAATTGGAAGAAACAAGACACTGAAAAACCAGAAGCTGAGCGCCTTCCACGAGAAAATCCAAAAGCAGCCAGGAGAATCGGCAAACCACAATGCTCCTATCCAACTAAGCTCGGCACAGCACAAACTTCATGGGATTTGCTGACAATTGGATGGATGAAACCCCCCGGATCCTCAGGAAGGTGAGCGAGCAGGCTCATGGAGATACTGGCATTTCTCTCCATTGACGCATCCGGTAGGCATCCTATGGAAGATGCACGCTGTTTTGGCCTTTTGCTCTGCTGTCATTGCTTTTCCCTTTCCCTTGGCTTTACCTTTTGGGGAGGTTTTCGATTCAGACGACGGAGCAATGGCAGCAGGCGCACTGGTGGGCTTGTCGGGCTGCAATTTCTTTGGCAAGCTGGACTTCATCAAGTTTTCAACTGATTGCGCATTGATGTCCTCTCTTTCCTCAAGCAAGTGTTCCTGCAACCTATTCCAAAGATGATCAAAATCACGGAGTGGCGACTGAGCATCGCTTCTCTTGATCTCATCAATGGTTCTTTCCAACTTGCGAACTTGCCTCAACTGATGAAACAACCGCTCACCCATCATGCGCTGAGACGGCCAATCTTCCTGCGGCACACTAGTCAAAGTGCAAAGGACACGACCTGAAAACTCTTGCAAATGCTTGGCACTGTAACCATCAAGCCCTATTTGAAAGATCGATTGCGAAGTAAGCAACGAACCACGAGTGCGATCAATGTCAAAATGCCTGGAAACAATGTGCAACAAGTATCTGCCCCTGGGAGGGCTTCCAATTCGAGCGCATCCTTCAATGTACCCCATGATCTTGAACTGCAACTTCGGCACATTTTCACAACCTTTAAAAAATTCAGCTGCAAACCAACGATCTAAACGCGGAACACAACCAGAATCATGCTTGATTACTTCATCGGAATTCACGTCATAAGCTTTGGAAAGCCAATGCCCTAAGTAATCCCTGTCACTGCTATCCAACTTTGCCATGATCAGCAACAACTGGTTTTTCCAAGCTCTGAAATCCGAAGCACTGGAAGGAACCGGACCTAATTTGGCATACCGAAGCGAACGAGCATCCACAATGTCCCTCTCAACTAGATCCCTGTGACTGGTAAAGCTTTGGGGCATGCGATCTCGAACTAATTCTTCACCTTCATCGTCAAAACCATCTCCGCCATCATTTGATGGAAACCCTGGCCCCCAAGATCCGGCAAGTGCTGGAAAAGAACGAGGTCTTGGAGGAAGACCAGAAGGTGGAAACGGAAAAGACACTGCCGCGCTATTATGGCTCTGAACTTGATCGACATGAATCTCTTGAGCATCTTCAACCGCTGACATACGAGTCGAAAGATCTTGCAAAGCTTCCATCATGGATAGCAATTGCGCTGAACAGGCCGGAGGAGGTGGAGCATCAGACCTGACTTGATCAACTGGTTGAGCGGCGCTTCGTGCAGCCAAACTCATCTCCATATCTTGACAGCGTTGACGAAGGGACAAGTTCTGAGCTTGAGATTCTTCCAAAACCAAACGTTGAGAGTCGACCGAATCCTTCAGCTGGTGGATTTCATCCATCAGTCGTGAAATTTCGCCCTCTTTGTGGTCTAACGTGTTGGCGGAGCACTCAACTCTTCTACCCAATTCGTGATTCCGAGTGATTTGAAGCTGCAACTGAGCGCGAACATTGGCCACTTCTGAATTTAATTGATGGATCTGATTTTGAAATCCTTGATTTGATAGCTGAAGGCTCTCAACAACACCCAGCAACTCCTGAATACGTGAACAAACCTGGCTGTCCACATCTTGAGCTAAGCCTTCCAACCCCTTGATTCTTTCATCAGGTTCCTGAATCACCCTCTTGGCCTCGGAGACCATGTTGGCAAAGTCCATGGGATCAACACCAACATTCACTTGCTGAGTGCGGTGATCATGATACTGGACCGTCTGTGAATGATGCATCCGGGCATCAGGCTGACCACTAGGCTCTTGGGGACTGAAAGTCGGTTGTTGGGAGGCCGATGCGGAACTATGCACAAGAGGAACTGGTGACATGGCACGCTCATGATCTGATGGCTTTGGCAAGCGCTTGATGACTTGAGAAACTTTTCGAGGCTGATTCACGGTTGGAACTTGTTTTGTTCTTGACGACCGTCCTCCTGATTTTGGAGTCCCGGATGAATTTCGGCTTCGAGATGAATGAGCTGTGACTGCACCTCCCTTAACATCGATGGACTCGGATGACAGGTTCAAGGATGAGGAGTTTGGATCTGACATGATTCCTGTTCCAGCCTTTTACCAACAAAGATTCACAAGTCACGGCCGACGCAACGACATGTGTGCCAGGTTTGAGGCACCTGGCAGCCTATGAAATGAAATCCACAAAAACGGTCAAACAAGAGAAAATGCGGCTCATAACCAATTGATTTGAGTAACAACACCCCAAAAAAAACAGAGGAGTCAAACAAAGACGGTGACACCAAGGGGCAGCGGCGGCAACCTGTTTTCGCCATGCTTGAGCCAAACAAGTAAGTGGCAACATGTTGACCCGTAAGGAAGGATACTAAACAACTGAAAGGGTATGGGAAATCTCCATTTCTTTCAAGTATTGTATATATGAATATATATATATATTATATTATATTATATTATATTATATTTTATTATATTATATTATTAAATCATATTATATTATATTATATATTATATTATATTATAATATATTATATTATATTATATTATTTTATATTATATATTATATTATATTATTATATATATATATATAAATATTATATATATATATAATATGTAAAATATTTTACATAAATTATATAGATTAAAAATAAATATTATATATATATATTATTTATGTATATATTACATATATATATATTGGATATTCTATAAATTCTACAAAATCTAAATATTAATATCTATATATTATATATATTATATAGTATAGATATATTATATATTATATATAAAATAAAATTATATCATATTTAATTAATATATTAAATCATGTTTTATTACAATTTAAAATAATGTAATAACATTCAATATTATATGTTTAATATTAAATATAGTATATTGTACAATATATAAAACATAATATATTGTACATTATTTGATATAATGATAAATAAATAAAAAAATAAACAAATAAATAAATGAATGAATGAATGAATGAAAAATAAATAAATGAATAAATGAATAAATGAAAAATAAATAAATGAATAAATGAATAAATAAATAAATAAATATATATATTTATACAGGTATACAGGTATTTATGAATACGGGCCCTTCTTGTTCCTTCTGTTGGTTTTCTTCGGTAGCTATCTTGTCTGCTGGGGCAATATGTAGTCATTGATTTTCCATTTGCAGCCATGCTTGCTTTGTTTGTCTGTCCTTGGGGGCGCTCCCGTTTTAGCGAAGGCCTCACTGGTGAACAACTCCGCCGACCCCAGCCGACGGCAGGGGGAGCGCGTCAGAGAAGACATTACAAGCAGCAAGTGGAGGAACAGTCGATTGTTGGAGTCCTGGGTGCGAAACGCAAGGAGGAAAAAACAGAAAGTCAGCGGCAAGAGCCAGAAGCTAGAGCAAGAAGGCCGGAAAGCAAAAGGCACAAAGCCAGGAAACAAGAAACGAGAAACAAGGAGCAAGAAAACCGGAAACACAAGAAGCCGGAAACATGACACACTGAGTAAAACAAGAAAGGCAGCAGCAAAAGCAAGAAGCCAGCACACAAGGAGCAAGAGCAAGAAGCAAGCAAAAAAGCTGGAAGCACGACAAGGTCGTGTAAGAGTAAGAAAGTCAGTGGCGAGAGGACACGGAGGGAGACCAAGAAGCCAGCACAAGACCAAGGCCTGGTCCGTCCTTCAGTCGCATGGTGTTTCAGTGTGGCCAAGGTTTTGGAGGCTTGAAGGCTGCATTTTGGAGCTAGTTTCTTGTCGGTTCAGAATGCAACATTAAACACAGGCAGCCGCAGGCCGAAGGCCTGGTCCGTCCTTCAGTTGCATGGTGTTTCGGTGTGGGGAGGCCAAGGTTTTGGAGGCTTAAAGGCTGCAATTTGCGGCTAGTTTCTTGTCGGTTCAGAAAGCAACGTTAGGCACAGGCAGCCGCAAGCCGAAGCCTTGGTCCGTCCTTCAGGTACATGGTGTTTTGGTGTGGCGAGGCCAAGGTTTTGGAGGCTCGAAGGCTGCAATTTGTAGCTAGTTTCTTGTCAGTTCAGAAAGAAACGTTTTGAGCGCAGGCAGCCGCAGGCCGAAGGCGTGGTCCGTCCTTCAGTTGCATGGTGTTTCGGTGTGGCGAGGCCAAGGTTTTGGAGGCTTGAAGGCTGCAATTTGAAGCTGGTTTCTTCTCGGTTCAGAAAGCAGCGTTAAGCACAGGCAGCCGCAGGCCGAAGGCGTGGTCCGTCCTTCAGTCGCATGGTGTTTCAGTGTGGCGAGGCCAAGGTTTTTGAGGGTCGAAGGCTGCAATTTGGAGCTGGTTTCTTGTCGGTTCAGAAAGCAACGTTAGGCACAAAAAGCAAGAGGCAAAATGCAAGAGCAAGCAATGGCAGGAAGCAAGAAGCGAAGGAGCAAGAAGCTAGCAAGCAAGAGTCAAGATGACAAGAGATGGAGTAAGACGCTAGAAAGCAGGAAAAGGAACAAGAAGCAAGAGGCAAGATGCAAGAGCAAGCAATCGCAGGAAGCAAGAAGCGAATTAAACATCTGCGCCACACTCAAAGCATAGTAATGCTGTGGTCATCCATGTAAAGGGGGATTCCCTCCTGAAGGTCCCTATCGCTCCACACAGTGGGGGCTCCTTTTCGGGGTGGTATCGCTTTTCAAGCAGGCAACCCTATCGCTCCTCGCAGTATTTCAAACATGTGTGAAATGACGGAGGGCTACATATACATTCCTTCATACCATCTTTTTGACCTCTGCTCATATCTATATCTACATTGAAATATACTCGGGCATTAGTATATCTTCATATCTTATCATTGCCACTAGCAGGTCACCCCCACTCGCCGCCCCAGGGCCACACCCCTGGGGTCGGCGGCAGGGACGGCAGCCCTTTTATAACAAAGCCCCTGGCAGCCATAGAGTAAAATTCCTGAAGTAGCTTGGCAGGCTTAATTCAAGCCAGCAACACGAGGCCAGGTCGGTTGCAGCTTTCTGTGGACTTTGGACCATGCTGATGCCTGGTGCAGGTTGGGCCTTTGCTGTGCATGACTCACCGTGCCTAGGCATGCCTGGCCATGCCGAACCTGCATTGTACGTTGATGAATGCAACGAATGCTGCAACTTTTGCTGCAACCTGGCCCAGCACTCTCCAAATCTCAAGGCTGTCAGACTGAGGCTTTCTATGCTATCTCAGGCTCAGTGGGAAGGCAGCACTGGGCAGCCGAACATGTCAAGCTGATGGCTTGATGGATTTGGAGATCGGTGACCTTGACAAATTTCCACAAATTTCAAAGCGATCTAAATTATTCTAAATTAACATACAAGCATTCAGAAAAGAAAAAACAAAGAGAGGTCAGGGTTGCACTGGTGGGGTAATTGTACACATTGAACCCGTTCCGGCAGGCTGCCAGCTCCTAGCCCACATGGACATTTCTGAGACGATAGATGAGTGACATTTCAGCAGAATGCAGCTGTGCCAAAGTCATGTCATGTCATCTAGTCATTGGCTGTGCCAAAGCTGCGTCAAGTCCTCTCGATCGACCCTCCGCTTCCACTGCTGGCAGCGCTGTATTGGGTCAAAACCCGTCGCCATTGCCACTGTCTTCGCTGTCTTTGTGCTAGCTAACGCAAGTTTTGTGGGACTTAGCACCTTCTGTTTCTGCAAAGCTCCCTATCTAGATAAAGTTGGGCCCGCTTCGCTCAAAGCCGCTTCTCTGTACTATCCATATCGCAATTCAAGCTAGAGGAAATTGTTGCCTAGCTCCACTTTCTCCATGCCAGACAAGCCTGTTCAACGTCTTGCAGATCTTGCAGACTGTAGTCGATCCAACCTGTTGCGGTCCATGCAAGACTTCATTCCTTTCCATAAAAAACCAAGGCAAAGTCAGTTCACTGTGGCAAGACTGAGATCTGCATTGGGAAGCATCACTTTGTCTTCTTGGATGTCCATGTGTCATATGCCGGCTGAGAAATGTCCACATATCTAAGTCAGTGGAGAGGGTTGATGAACAAAATATGTCTGTTCACCTTGAACTCCTATTGTCTTTCTATTGTCTTTCAGGTAACACATCGACAATTTCATTCACCACGCAGCGTCGGAGAGCATCCCTTTTCGTGGCAACACTTGAATGTATGGAAGGTTTCGTTCAGTGTTCTGTCTAGAATCTTATTGACACATTCGGGAGGTCAACGGTGGATCTGGCGCTGCTCTCTTTGCTGCAAATGTCTGTCTGGAAGTATTGTCAAGCACGCGGAGCAATAATAGCATCCAGTTCTTGAGTTTGAATGCTAAACAAAAAACAGAACATCTACAGAAATATACAACATGTCCTAAGACACAAGTGAACCAAAATAGAACCACTTGCAGCATGCAGCCAACCCCAAACAACTTTGTGTTTGATACCGCCCAATCCGACAACAGTTCCCATGTTACAGTGAGGCACTCTCGACAGCTCTGATGCTAGTCGAAGAAACTGCAAGCAGATTCAAAAATCTGCATATCTCACCTTGCACTCTGTGCACATCTGTGCACATCTGTGCACCGGCAAATAGCTTGCTCTCTGCTTTTGCAGCGATGCAGGGCTTCCTTAATTGTCAATGTACATTGTGTGCCTTTCTACCTGGTACCTATGGCCTTGTTTTGACTATCTCTGCACCTGACAACTGATCTGCAATTGCATTGTTTGGCTCGCTGTGAGATATCAGTACAAGGGACAAAAGGGTGAGATTGCAGCTTCACGGAGCGTCTGTCAGGGAAAAAGGTTTTAAGTGTTCCTCTGTGTTTGTGAAATCCTAGAACGATGAGTAGTCATCTTTTGATGGCTATTATGGCTTTGGTCGGATAAGAGTCAAATTCGACAACACGCTACACATGTTTGATTCTGCAAATTCATATATACATATATAATCCCCTTGGAGATTTGGGGGGTACCCTGGAGCCCCTGATTTTATAGCTATAAAATGGTGGGGCACAGCCCCCCCATGACCCTGCCATCACTATAAAATCAAAGTGTTCAGCCCTACACAGGGGTGTGCAGAGCTATAAAATTTAAAAAGTATAGAGTTCCCCCCAATACTGCAAAATTGCTATAAAATTGGAACACAGCCTCGAGGATTTTCCCTTTTAAAGAAAAACATGAATCCCAAAGATCACTATAAAATTCAGGACTGGGTTACCTCATTTTGATGGCAGCTCTCTCATAGATTGTGAACCGTATTTTTTGGTGGGCTACCAACCATGATTTTATAGCAGAGAGATCCCCTTGTGAATTTCAAGAGTCTTCCAGAGACCGCCATTTTATAGAGGTACCTGGTTTCCACTATAAGGATACATTCTGGGAATCTTTCTAAAACCAGGATAAAAATCAGATTGCAAGAAATACGACTCTATAAAATCAAGAAACAAAAAAGTTGCGGCATGAATACACATGCCTGTTTGTAACCACCAAAGTTCCCTATAAAATCTAGATACGGGGTGCAGTTTTTTCCTTGAAGGTCATCCACCTGGTCCAGTACAAAATCAGGATCTCCAAGATGGTGGCTTTACAAAGTCTGTTGAAACATGTGCCCCCTTACTATTGGGGTACCTGGTCTCTGATGTTATAGTTATAGTGGAACTGTTTGAAAGAGATGTCAATACAAGCTGGACCCGGGCCTTTGATTTTATAGAAAGGTTTCTTTTGGGATGGTTGTGGCTTGGGATACCATCAATTTCCATAGTTTGCTGAATCAGGTTCAATTAAATGAAAACAAATACCAGAACTTGGAAAACAATTGCAATTTTGGGACACTTTTTTTGGCACCGGGATTGTTGAAGCAAAACCTCCAGATGAAATCGAAAACTTAGTCACTGGTCCCTCTTCGGGGGCCCTTCAAACATGAGTTATCAGCCATTTCGGAGTGCTGTTGTGCCTCACTATAATTGGAAAAGTTTATATAAAGATGTTGGAGGCGAGTAATGACCCAATTTTGGAATTTAGCGCGGTGGGAGGTTACACTTTTAATTTTAAAGAGAGAGAGAGAGAGAGATTTGGTCCATACTGACGCCGACTACACGCACTAAGTACCCCCAATGATTTCTGAACTATCTGTGGAAAGAATTGGAAAGGCATCGTGAACACGCGCAGTGCTCAAGCAAAAACTCTCTATAAAATCGACAAATTAGTCTCTATTTGGTGTCCTTCAAACCTGAACTCTCCATTTTGGAGTCCTGCGGTCCGTGGTGCCTTGCGGTATAGAAAGTGGCAAGGATGTTTGGGGCATGTACTGACCAAATTTTGGAGTTTAGAGGGCCAGGAGGCGGGAAACATATGAAAAGAGTCCATTTTCTGGAACTTTTTGAATCTTTGGGATTTTATAGAGGCAATGGGTCCATATTGAAGCCGGGTACATGCACCAAGTACCCCTATACTGATTTCCGAATCATCCCCAATCCGTCCCAATTTCAAGCTATGGAAATGGAAAAGCAACGTCAACACGCGCAGTGCTCAAGCAAAACCTCTCTATAAAATCAAAAAAGTCTTTGTTTGGGGGTCCTTCAAACCTGAACTGTCCATTTTGGAGTCCTGCTGTGCCTAACGATATGGACAGTGGCAAAGATGTTTGAGGCGTGTATTGACCAAAATTTGGAGTTAGAGGGCAAGAAGGCGGGAAACATATGAACAGAGTCCAGTTTCTGGAATTTTTGAACCTTTTTGATTTTATAAAGGCAATGGGTCCACATTGAGGCCGAGTACATGCACGTACCCCCACTGATTTCCGAATCATCCCCAATCCGTCCCAATTTCAAGCTATGGAAATGGAAAAGCAACGTCAACACGCGCAGTGCTCAAGCAAAACCTCTCTATAAAATCAAAAAAATCTTTGTTTGGGGGTCCTTCAAACCTGAACTGTCCATTTTGGAGTCCTGCTGTGCCTAACGATATGGACAGTGGCAAAGATGTTTGAGGCGTGTATTGACCAAAATTTGGAGTTAGAGGGCAAGAAGGCGGGAAACATATGAACAGAGTCCAGTTTCTGGAACTTTTTGAACCTTTTTGATTTTATAAAGGCAATGGGTCCACATTGAGGCCGAGTACATGCACGTACCCCCACTGATTTCCGAATCATCCCCAATCCGTCCCAATTTCAAGCTATGGAAATGGAAAAGCAACGTCAACACGCGCAGTGCTCAAGCAAAACCTCTCTATAAAATCAAAAAATCTTTGTTTGGGGGTCCTTCAAACCTGAACTGTCCATTTTGGAGTCCTGCTGTGCCTAACGATATGGACAGTGGCAAAGATGTTTGAGGCGTGTATTGACCAAAATTTGGAGTTAGAGGGCAAGAAGGCGGGAAACATATGAACAGAGTCCAGTTTCTGGAACTTTTTGATTTTATAGAGGCCGCATTCAAAGGCACAACCTTAAACAAAAGAACCAACAAAAAAAAGTTTTTTTTGGGGGGGGGAAGGGCTCCCAAGAGGTACCTGAAACAATCTAGAACTAGTTTGAAACCATCTCTATCTATCCATCTGTCTGTTTCTCTTTCTCTCCCTCGCTCTCTCTATCATATCTATCTATCGATTATATTCTCACTATCTCTAAGATGTGGATCACCTCAATAACTATCGCATTAGTCAGCTGCTGTATTGGCAGCTTGCTAGACCCATTCCCCGTCGGTCTTGATAAAAATGTTAACGGGATGCGGAGATCACGGAGATCGGTTACACAACAAATTTATCTCAAAAACCTTCCCTCTATTAAGTCAGGATCAGTGGGCCAACAAATCACAACCATTCCAAAAAATAGCATCTCTATAAAGGTCAGGTGCCTGGGCCCCCCTGAATTGGTCATAAGCCACATGTTGGCTTACACATGGTTTACGAAAGGCCTTCTATGAAATCAGATTTTTAGGTTTGTATTCTTTTTGGACGCTTTGTGCCAAGACCTCATCTGACTAAAATTTCCATTTCAAACAATATCTGGGTACTACCATTAAATGTTTACATGTATATATGTGATTATATATGTATATAGGAAATAGAAAGGGGTATGCAGAGAGCATAAACACCACACGCCAAACAACAAAGAGGGTAGGCATTTTGATTTTATAGATAATGGGCCATGATTTGATGTGATTTGCATTGCTTGCCTTGCTAACCAGCACCTCCTGGTCAACTTGCAGGCTTTTATTGGAGCCAACCAACCAACACCGTGTCAATAATTTCAAAAACATTTGAAGACTATCAAATACTATCAAACAGCACCAGAGGAAACCTATAAAATTAAAACAGAAAAACAAGATCATCCATTTGTTAGTCCAAAATAAACCCACTATAAAATCATAACACACAGCCTCCTCCAGTTGCCCCCCCAAAAAAAACACTATAAAATCAAACCACAGCCTCCTCCAATCTGTTACTTCAAAAATAGATCCACTATAAAATCAAAACTTATGCCTTTGCATTCCTTGTTCACAATCAATCATTCTATTCTGTGAAACCAAAGTGTACAGCCCCCACGAAAACATGAGATGTTGAGTACTTGTTTTGTGACCACTTTTTGGACCAGGTGATTGCAATACTCTTATGATTATGGGGAACGCTTGCGCGCCTGATTTTATAGCTGAAATGCCCGAGGGGATATCAAAACAATCAGGCAATTATTGTTCTGACGTGTTAGTGCCAGCCAGGATGTTGCATGAACTCTCAGGATATTTATCTAATGATATCTAATGTATTCTAACGTTGTGTGCATGATTCATTGAAGCATCATTGACCGTAATTTGATGGGATTTGCATAGAATTACATTGCTAACCAGCACCCCCTGGTCAGCTTGCAGGCTTTAATTTGAGCCAACCAACCACCACAGTGTCACACTGAGCCTATAATATCAAAAACATTTGAACACGATCAAACAACACCAAAGACAACCTATAAAATGAAAAAACAACAACACAATCACCCATTGTTACTCCACAAAACAAAACACTATAAAATCAAAACACACAGCCTCCTCCAATCTGTTACTCCAAAAATAGATCCGCTATAAAATTAAAACTTCTTCCATTGCATTCCTTGTTCACAACGAATCACTGTATTCTATAAAATCAAAGTGTACAGCCCCCACAAAAACATGAAATTTTGGAAGTTTGTTTTGTGACCACTTTTTGGGCCCGGTGACCGCTATATTTTTTTGATTATGGGGGACGTTAGCGTCCCTGATTTTATAGCAGAAATTTCCAGGGGGATCATATATATATATATATATATACACACTGAATAATATACAAGTATGTCACACGCTATATTATGCTTCTATTATCGGGATGTGTATGGAGATATGCCGGCACAATAACATATTGACATATTGTGGCATACTAAATACAAATTATACAGGTGCTTAGTCTATCTTAGTCTGGGGTTTTACTGCTTTAACACTTTTTGAACATTTTTGTCACCAATGAGAAGTGGAGAGGTGGGAGGCCACCTCTAATGTTGCCTTGGTGCAAGCTCAGCCGAAGCGAAGCAACATACTGTACGGAGCTGGTGTGAAATGGCTTGGACTAATGGACCAAGCTCCCATTGGCTACAATTGGCTCCAATGGTACTTCAGTACTTACTTTGATGGAAACCAATGCAAAGGGATAACAAGATAACAAATGACAAAGCGATGTAAGCCAGCTTTTTACATGTCACAACCATAGTTTACGTCCCTTCACGTCTTCCCACATCTAGTATGAATATGGAGCTCAGCGTCAGTGTGACTCAGCAAATCATCACAAGTCTGGATTCTTCCATGGAGACTCCGGTCCAAAAACAAAGTCTACCACCTGCATTGCTGACATTCTCGACATGCAAGTTTGAATATGTTTGAATCGCAGAGAAGCTTTGGCAGTCATGGCATGCTTTGCTGATGCACTTTCACAATCCTGTGCCTCGCCTGTGTCAACTCGCCTTGCCTTGGGTCAAAGTACTGAAAGACAATTATATAAGACAATCACCGAGCACTTTTTTAAAGAAAAGACAGTGAGTCAGTAGTTCCAAGTGCCTCGTCCTTTTATTTTACTATCTTTCGCTCTCACACCTGTACAGCCTTTTCAGTACTGATCAGTACTGCACCTCCACTGACCGCTCAATACATGCCCACTTTGAAGCTTCAGAAGGCCACGGCCTGTGTAACCAACTAGCGGGAAATCTCAAAGCAAAATAAGCACTAAGAATTCTCAAACTCAAACCCGTTTTTCACTGTTGTCCTTTCAAAATGATTGCAACAAGTGAGTCAATTTATATCTAGAATGCTCCTATATACTTCTATAACCGGTTGAAGATGCCTAAAGCGTATGGGAATCCGGGAAGAATCAACAATCGGACGCCAGCAAAGTCTTCAGCAACTCAATACCTCACCTTCTTTTCGCCCGAAAGCAAACTCGCCGTCATAGACGGAGCCGTCCTTCCCAGATGCAAAGTTGAGAACAAATGCGACAGTTTCGATCACAATTGCATGGGACTGCGCTCCCAGGTCTGGCAGGGAAACACTAGGAACAAAATTAGCAAGATAAACTAGGATTTGTTACAAGCATAATTCTCAAACAAATCTATCTATATATATATATATAAGTGCTTTAGAGTCAGTGTTATATACGTTTTGAATCGTTTTGAATCGTTGTCAAGTTGTGTTATCACAACTACTGTTTCTAGGCACCCTCCTCTGCGCAAGCGAAAACACCACGGCCATGACCTTACCGTCTGCGGCTGAGAACAAACTTTACGGAGGCATACGGAGGCTTTCCAAGGCTTTGAGGCTTCCGCTCCCTAAGGCTCCCACGCTTGTCATCAAGCCATTGGCCTTCGTACCGATTTCCGTTGGAATACTGGAAGACACCGTAACCAGCAGCTCGATCATCGGACCACTGGCCTCAAAAGCTATTTTAAAACACCAGTGCCATGCAGGGATCTTTTTTTGCGCAATTCAAGGCCTTTCAGAGCGATTCATCACAACACTGGGCAGATTTGCAGAGTGTAAATATTCATGCATGTAAATCTATAGTATGTACATATATAAGACACATAATATGTGTATACAGTATGAATGCATGTATGTATATATGCGCATATTACATGTTTTATGTGCACATGTATATATATATATATATGAATTATAATGAATTATATATGAATAAAATTGAACAAATAAATACACCGTGCACAATCCTGCAGTGGCCTTTGAAGCGGTCGCCATTGGAGTAGATGAGTTCGCCCTCACCTTCCTTTTTGGCCTTGCTCACACTAGACCAACTACGTGAATCCAAAACATTCCCAAACTGAGAAACCTGCCAAACAACTGAGAAGCCGGCATCAACCCAGTCGCCAATGAATTTGTCACCATACGTGTAAACCAGCGTGCCTTTCCCATGAACCTGCCAGTCCGCTTGAAAGGAGTTCGAACATAGCAAAGAAACTGAAGGTGTGTTTTTTTCTGTCTCCTGAAACATGTTTCTCAACCTGCTTGGCATGCGACCTGTCAGCTGCTACTTTGCTGCAAGAAGAACCCGAAACGATGCCAAACAAAAATGCATCGAGGGCAAGAACCAAAACAGAAAGGAAAGGAGAGGTCTGAAATGCAATGTAGTGCTTGCAAGTTGGGCACGGATCAAAAAGCTGTTTCCCCGATGCCGGTGAACATCAAAATAGCTGGTAAATAGATGTTCATTCCTAAAAATGATCTCATCATATTTCTTTATGTCTGATAGGTATTCACCCATCCCTAGTTGGCGGACTTCAACATCTAGAGATCTCACTGCACCGATCTGCTCGGACGAATGCTGAAGTCATAATTACTCATTCCTTGTGAAAATGAAGCAGGGAGCTGGTATATTTGCAAGATATATTAATATAGCTTCCGCATGTACCCTACTTCTTTGTATTTTCAACAATCTGCGCGCAAGTTCAGTTCTGACTGGGGCGATCTTGCTCAGCAAGGAATTGACTTGGCGTTGACAGTGGCGACGCCCAAAAAACTCTTTGTACTCAGGCCTAAAATTGCCAAGGCACGGGAAATGTCAGCTTGAAGAGGAAATAGGAGGGCTTCAAAGAGTTTTCCACAAGCACACAGATAACGACATATACTGTGACATATACAGTATACAGTACACATATTACGATATTGTATGAGTGCATATGATTATATACACTCTACAGCATCCACAAGTACTTGATTGAACGTGCCAGTCCTTGGGAGACTCATCGAAACGATTGTTCAAAAGTAGTGACATATAGCTACATCCCGGCAGGGCTGCACTGATGTAAAAAATGTTTGCTAATCAGCTGCTAATCCTCCCAACATCCCAAATGACCTTGTCTTGCTTCCAGTAGCCTTCGTACTTCTCGCCATTCTGGTACTTCAAAGTGCCGTAGCCTCGACAGAGATGTGCTGCAAGTCATGCATTTTGCGTTGGACATAAACTCGTCTGTCTAACAAGTTGTTTGCAACAAGTGGTGAAAGTTTGCTGTAGATGATTGGAATGAAGGCAAGCATTGCAGCCTTCTTTCATGTCATTGACCCATTCTCCCTCGTAGGTGTTGTTGTTCGGAAAGGTCTGAGGGCAGCACAAGTGACAGAAGCACGCAATGTGTGCTGTACAGTGAGAACTGTAGATTCAAACTACAAGTACTACAGACAAGAACCCTGAACTTCCAGGGAGAAGAAGCCATCCATGATATGCCAAATGCAGATCCTGGATACACTCGGGCCTTGCATGGCCTTACTAGGGCTCTGACATATGTTCCTCTGCCATGCATCTTGCCATCTTGCCAGTCTCCTTCGTACACTCCTCCATCAGCATACTGGTACCTTGGGTGTCAATGGTGTCAACAGTGTCAACTTTCAATCATTAGCGCCAATTAGATGTTGTTGGAGTTTTATGCTACTCTGAATAATCGATCAAAGAACATTGCAGCATTTGCAGCACTATATACCTATTCTCGCACTACAGTGCTCTCTAGACCGTTCTTAAAGAAATCTGTCACTGTAGCCAAGGCATCACTTGACATTGCAATATGTTGTAATGTTGTTGTCGAAAAGGGCAGTTTTTGGGCGATGCTCTTGTTTTCACATAGCCAACCCCCGGCTCCAACTGCGGTTTTTCTTGTGTTGAAATGGCCACGTAAGCCTGTGCGCGCATGCTAGCACAGAACTACCAAACGACAGCAGTGGCAGCACAGCAACAAAAGGTTGGTACAACAAATGACAGTGACAGCAACCAATGCACCGTAAGGAAGTGTCCCTACATCCTGATAAGAACAGCCAGAAAGGAATCGCATTCGTGAGCAAGGTATTCGGGGTGATCGCACAATCCTGACAAGCGCGGGGTCAAGGCCATACAAATACAGAATCGGTCAGAATTGTAAACCAAACACTGAACAATGCGGCAGCAGGTCGCTTTGTACCCTGGGACACAAACAGACCATGACGGGGCTGACAAACAGGGAACAGGACAGCATATTATACGTATAATATCTTGTCACATTGAAGTTGCGCTCCCTGCACTCACATTACATTATGCGCCAGATACAGCCATACAGTACCGCACCATACCGTGTCGCAAGGACTAAGAGGCCTTGTAGAACGATGTCAGTATAGATCCCAAAACATATGCAAACCAACAAACAAAACACAGACGAAGGAAGAGACTCGTAATTAATATCAAGCAATCATGCCTTAATTGTACAAGCCGCGCTCGCCAAACATTATATACATGGACAAAACATATTCTCAGTGCGCACCTGCATCCCATCGCATCCCATCGCATCCCATCCTGAAATGCAGTACAATACATACACAACAATTACACAAATATAATCAAATACATACACAAAATGGAATGCACGCATACAGTAAACTACATTGTCTTGCACTGTTTACATTAAACATGCATCGCACTACTGTATATTGTATCACATGAAAATTATGAGTACCTGCCATCATGTATATTCCTTTGCCGCATCCACACACACACAAAGAGCACGACCTGCATCGGATGCATCAAATACATCCTGTTCGAAAGGCAGAAAAACAATTGCCCATTTGTCCATCCAACCATTCACCCATACAGCAATGACTCATCCATCTGATTTTCCGTCCATTCATCCACTAAGCCCTGGAAACCGTCCATTTCATACATGTGTTGCATGTATTTGGCATGATACGCTTTAACCACATCCAATGCATTGCAGTAGTTTGCGTTGCACTGCTTTGCGTTCAGCCACACATGCAAATAACCCGTACACGATATAACGGCATTTGATGTACACATATCGCAAGTATTTCGCTACAGGGCACCGATACAATCACACACACACAGAGAATTTCATGGACAACAGTGAAGGACATACACAACATTGTAAAGCAACACATGCGCTGTAATATGCTGGAATGGATCAGAGGGCTGGATCGCACATAAATTTCATTGGTGACAGTACATGGAAAAAAGACCCGCCGTTACCCGAGAAAAAAACTTAGCAGACCTAACAGCACAGAATCTCAGAGAGACTATCACAGAAGGAACAATGGGAAGAGAAACGCAAGTCTTGCGCTGCCATTTCTTCCTGCATCACAAGATAAGGCATGATAAGGCATATTGTACCATAGCACTCAAATCAATGGACAGACCAAGCTGCGGACAAACATACGAGTATCATCGAGTATCAACATGCAAAGCAACTTGCCTACCAACATAGATAATTAACATTATATATATATATAATTAATCTGCGCACGCGAAGACTGAACAGTGGAAGGAGAAACAAATAAACATAGACAAACAGAAATAACACACATAATAAATACTAACAAATAATAAATATGTATTATATAATATATATAATGTAGCATTATGTAGTCATACTCAGGGACACCGGGAAGGACAGCGATGTCATTGCCGGCTGCGGGGCCTGTTGCGTGGGCAGGAAATGAAAGCCACAAGGTGCATTTGTTATGCCACATCGCATCCCATCTCTAAGCAAACCACATGTGCAAGCAGTTCATACGAAAGGAGCACCACTGTGTATTCTGCATAATATCACAGCGGGTCACATGACGAGTACCTTGCATTACACCGTATTGTCGTAGATAGTTTACAATACATGCATACTCATGCGATAAAGAAAAAACATGTACTATTATGTACTGCACACTCTGTGTACATCGCATTCCATTCAACCAATAGAAAGAATATCCGCCCATCAGTCCATCAAATGCATGCATTCATACGCAACAAAACAATACAACATGTCCTTGCCAATCACACGAATGCCTTACGCGTGTTGCTGTGTGCCCATCCCCATTCACCCTGCCTTCCAAGGCACATGTTGCACCCATGACATGCTAAATATGTGTGTATGATTGTGTATGTGCATCAAAGGCATTAGATGCACAACATGCACTACATGCCTTGCACACCATACCCTTTTACATTGCTTCGGGTCAAATCACATGGTAGACCTCTTGCATTGAAGTATAGAACATCGGATTTTCAAGTTGCCATTTCTTGACATTTACAAAGAGACAAACTTGGACAAATGAGATACGCACTTTCACACGAACATGCACACATATTTACATCTCTACATAGAACCACGAATGCATGTGCGGGCATACACATGCACAGGGGCACATGCAAAAGGACCATACCTTATTGCATCAGAGAATACATGCCTGTTGAATCCTGTAAGCACGTTCTTTTACACATACACGCCCCCAAGTACATTAAACAGTGCAAAGAACTACTGCACGCACAAGGGATCAAGGAGAAGAGTATGCAAGAACTTGATGACACAATACTGATACTGGTTGACAGGATACAAGACTTCGGCACTGGACATCGAAGGATATTCACAACACACACACATACACACACATACACACATGCACTGACTGCATAATAATATAAATGACTCTACGCGTTACGAAACACTTCACGTGTTTGTTCAAAATGATGACACAACAAAAGAACAAATGCAACAAGAGGATCAACATATTGCATTGTTATCTTTAACATATTTTGTGGATGAATCTGGTATCCGATGCAATCCCACTTCGGAAGACGTGCAGACTGCAGCCATGGCACTTCCCAGTGCCGTGCATCTTGCCATTCACCCAGTCACCTTCAAATTTCTCTACTACACTGCCACGGGCGCTGACCTTACATCAGCTGTGCTTTTTCAAAGGCTCAGTGCATCTCAGTGCCATTTTCAAAAGACATCAAAAAGACATCATAAGTTGAATCACAAGACAATATCGAAGCGATCGAAAGAGTCCCAGTTTGATCTCGGTTCCACGCATAGGTAACCACGCCCTTGCCGTGTCGCTTGTCGTCCTTCCACTCTCCGTGGTAGACGTCTCCTTCTGCCTAACACAACAGGCTCAACAGGCTCAACAGGCCCAACAGGCCCAACAGGCTGGCAAGCTGGGCTGTCAAGAATGCCTCCTTCCTCTATCTTCCTCTTACTCAAATTTATTCAAACCAAAGTGGCAAAACATGGTCAACGCAATCAGTCTTGGCGCCCAGCATACTTGTAGGTACCACGGCCGTGCATCTTTCCATCATGCCTCGAGTTTGCATGCGGAGGTCATGACCAGCCAGCCTCCAGTTGCACTTCGGTCCGCCATAGCATGAAACTGAAATATCTTTTACTAAGCGCACAACCAATCCCCTTCATACTGATCTTTGTTTGAGTAGGTCAAAGTACCTGCAGCGCTACTTTCATTTTTCATGGACCATCATGGACTGTCATGGAACTGCTGCGCAAAGCTCTGAGGTAGCACACCATGCCCGTGAATCCGGCCGTTCTCCCAGCTTCCTTCGTAACGGTTTCCAGAAGCAAAGACTGCCACGCCCTGGCCGTGTATCCTGTCCTGGAGAACCACTCAATTGGAAAAGCTTGCTTGCTTAAAAAACGATGTGAGAGTATGTGAGTACTCATGAGACGATGCAACGTTCCACTTCACAGGTCCTCTTGCCACTGACCGTCAAAGATTGCACCATCTGAGTAGGTAAACCTTCAAATGCATTTACACATATTGAAGGGAGTGACATGATAGCGTGGCAATGTACTGTTCCCGCAGGGACCGTGATTCATACGAATCTGCAACTACCAGTACAAGTTTGTTCTTGATATAGTCTCTCCTGTTTCTAGACTCCTTTCAAGTCCATGTGCAACAAAATGGGGGTTCAAATAAATCTTGCAAGTCAGTCAGGCAGACATTCCATGACCTTCTCTTTTGCCATAGACCCACCTAAGCATTCAGCAAACCAAGACGAGACAGCAAAAGCCGAATGCAACCACTTCCTGAACAATTTAGAATTCTAGGTTCTCTGCTCGCCATCATAACATTCGTTTCCAGCATAGATCAATTTTCCCTTTCCGTGGAAAAGGCCATCCTGCGCGGTTGTCTCAAATCCATACCATATTCGGACACTGTCTCCGAGCAAAAGAAAGGATTGGATGCGGGAATGCGGGAACCAGCTGAAACCCATCCAACAAATCGATATATATATATATATTTATTTATATACGTATATATAAATCGAATTGCGAGGGTTTCAAACAGATTGTGATGTTTCCTCATGCGCATCACATCCCATCACATCCAATCATTGTATAAAGACTTAAAATAAAGCTACAATTGAAACTGAAAACACAACTATGTTTGCAGTAATTGATTTGGGAGTCTTCCTCCCAAACCCTAACGCGGTGGCATATCTTCTTCTTTTGTTTTCGTCGTCGTCGTCGTCTTCTTCTTCTTCTTCTTCTTCATTTCTCTTCCTGCCTACCATCAAGCCTTTTCATGCCTGCTTGAAACATCTTGAAACATTTCCAAAACTTTGGCATGCTGTGATACAAATTCGGTCACAAGGCTGTGAGCTATCGACGAATCAGCGACGAAGCGATCATTTCCAGGGGGTTGTTGAACTATGCAGAATTGCTATCAGTTTGTTGAACGTGTTGAACATGGCGTGATGGCGCCTTGATCTGCCCATTGTATGCGTTGGCGGGCTCGCCCATGGTGGCGGTCTTAGCGAGCGGAAGCACTAGAAAGGTTTAAGGTTTTGTGGATTTTGGTGAAGCACAATGTGTTTGTCTGACCTTGAACAATCCATACTACTGAGGGTTCTCCCATCTGACAAGACAAGCTTCACTGCTTGTGAAGTCAAAAACACGCATGAGTCAGCTACAAACCAAACCGGAGCTGTGCGTACGGCTCAAAACTCATCCTTTCTTGCACACAAATTCCAAGGGTGCAACATGTTCCAATTGTGCCCAGGCACAATCTGATCTTTGGCTGGGTTCGGGCCTATCCTCACTGGACAGCTCCTGACCTAAAACTTGTTTTGAACCTTGTGCCACATCCCGCAGCAAAGTCCATGCAACTTTCATGCACCCTCAGCATGTCTCAGCATGGGTGACGCAAAACGCTGCAATGCATGCATACAATTGACACATGCATATACTGTGCATGTTATGCATGGTTCCATGTACAAGACAGTTGTGCTGCCGCTGCCCACTGCGGTTTTATTTCGCTCCCACAACCCTTCAAGAAAAATAATATGTAGCTCTTAGAGAGCTTCAGAAACTGGAGCATCACTTTGCCTTTGACAAGTGATGCTCGCAAATGCTCACAATGTCACTTGCTCTCAGGCTCTTGAGGTGCTTGGGCAGATTGACTGCAAAGCAGGGGTTTCTTCTGCCTCGGTGCTGCTCGGTATCGCAATGTCATGTGCTCCATGCAAACCTGGTCATACGTCAAGATTCAAGGCAATACTGTATGGAAAAACCAGCACACCAGGTCTCCAAACCGATTCAGTACAAATACAAGCCTCAATTACTTGATTCACACATATTCACACTATGCTTGAACTTTGCAATGTAAAAGTGCAGCGTTGGTACACCAAACTGCAATCAAGTGTTCGAAGACTTCACACTCCCCAAGAAGATCTGCAACTGCAGCTTTAATCTCTCCCCACCGAGACATCTATATCATCTATCTCTTTACATAAAGAAAGGCATGGCATGGCATCCGCTTGCAGTGATCCTTACGATCTATATCACCAAATCTATCCAAATCTCATGTCACTGTAACCCCTAGTTCTAATAACATGTTCTCATTCGGCAGTACATGGAGAAAAACGCACATGGCAGATTTTTGAACACAAAGCTGAGTCAGCAGAGCTTGTCAAAGCCTGGACAGATTCTGACTGAAGTGATGATCAACGCGTGGCATCTTCTGGCAAGCCGATACTGAATGTGGTGGGCGGAAACCATATCTATTGAATCTATTGTATTCAACTGAGTTGCGGCTCCTCCCAGCTCATTGTGTTGAAGGTGCTGGTCATCTAGCTCTAGTGGTAAAGGCCAAAGAATCACAAAGTCTACCAAGTCCATATCCGTTGCTTGCAGTCCTCTCATCTGCCATTCTTGATAATCATGTGCTTGATTTCCTGTTTTGAGTCGTCACCTAAAACCTACATGACACCGTTCACAGTTGGAGAAATCTTTCATGCATGTCAAGTCTATGTTTGCAACATCTAGACCTGTCCGAAGTAGGCTGAAGCGAATAGACTAAAAAGTTGCTCTTATTCTTTTCTACACTGAACGCGTAGTGCTTCAGCATGACATGCAGGATCATGCGGCGGAGTGCTGGTGTTTCTTGTCTGTTGGACAGACCCATTCCAGGCTCCGAGAGGAAGTTGAAGTGAGAATGAAAACGACATGTCAAAAGTTAAAGTGGGAACGGACGCTTTTAACGTTCAAAGTCTTAGTCGGGGGAAGACCTAGCGTTTCCACGCTTCAACCTCTTTAGCTTTCTGACCATCACATTCAATCGGTATTTTTGTCGCAGCGGTGGAAGGGGTTAGCTTCACACTCATCAGCCTCTGCTTTTGACGCGCGTTTGTAGTTACACTGCATCTTTTGGACAAACCAAGGTCCGTGTCTTTCTTTTCAAACTGAGGTATTAGCTCCTGCCTTTTCTGCTAATCAAGCCACAGCCTGGACAAAGCGTGAATTGCTGCAGTGCATTTCAGTTCCTTTGATATTGAATGAATTGCCCGGTGGCACATGATCAATTTGTTGCCAAAGTCAGTGAGTCTTGCACAGTGTTGCATCCGATTGCAGGCACATTCATGAGCAGAAAGGCTCTGAGCAATCTCTGAGACTTTTGAAGCTTCGCAGTACAACGGCCGCAAAGCTTGTCATCGGCTTCGGGTGAGTCTTTTCAACTCACTGATCACAGCATTGATGTGACCACATAGAGCATGTCGTTCCCAACATGGCGACTGAACCTCAAAAGCTGCATCGCGTCTCACCAAATGAATCTCACATGGTCCTTGCAAAAACTTTCCAGTTGCATGAAAGTCATGAAAGTCTCCAGCATTTCCGGCTGAGCTTCGGGCAAAGCAAAAGAACGGCGCAGCAGGCTTGAATGTAAGGCCAAGGCAGCTGCGAAACCTGCGATACACTTTCAACTGGAAGTGCGAACCAAGAAGTATGTGCAATCACTGCTGCAATCACCTAAGCCATTACGGCGCATTACGGACTGTAGCCTCAAATATAGGTCAGTTGCAGTCCCTCTCTCTATTCCATTCTATTCCATTTCATTCTATTCCATTTTATTCCCTTCTATTCCATTCTATTCCAAACTGCTCCAGCTGTCTTCAGTGTTTCTGTGACATTGCTGTGCACTGTATGTCTCCAACCAGCTCCGAACTGAGGTGGGTCTCTTTGGGCTTGTGGAATGACCCAAAGCCTTGTGTTTGAGGGAGGTCCACTCCCAGAGTCCAAGAGTCCCAGAGCACATCAGGCAACATGAGATTGAGACCAAGTGAAGTTGTGCTCATTGGCTTGCTGGGAAAGACCGGGTTGGACTGGCAAGCTTCACATGTAGGCAAGAAGGGTCAATGTCGTTTGGTTTTCTCCAACATGCAATTTCTACTGTCAAACAGATTCAAACAACATAATGTGTATATATATACGTTTTGATATAAATTCTCTTGTCCGGAAACCGCCATTCTTAGCCAAAAATATACTTTTGCCAAACGTCTGCGAACTTGGGGATGCCTTAATCCTCTCCGCTGGAAAGTATTCAATCTGCATGGAAATGGCAACATTTATCTTTATTAGACCCTTTTGGTGTGCATGATATCTGTGAAATCAGCTAGCGCGTTATCAACTCAACTCCACAGTCGCACAAAGAGAGGTTCAATGGCCTTATTTCCCTGTGCTGTGGTCTGGGTTTCTGAGACACCGGAACTTTTGCGACTGCTTTCGCGACACTTTAGCAAAACTTTCGCGAAAAAAATGGCGTCAATTTTTTCAAAAGTGTTCCAGCCCTGCATGGGGCTTAGAGGTGCAGTTCCAGACATTTACCATTGCAAAGTTCCCCACAAGCAGGGATGATTTTGAAACAACGATGGCCATCCTCATATGACCTTTAGATCAACTCCCATATCTATCTCTATATATATATACACACATATCTATATACACATAATATAGTATTAATACGTATATTATATTAATATATATTATACAATAATGTGTAATATAATATGTACGCTGCAAACCCCACGTTTGCCCGCATCGGATCCCGCATATCCTTTGACATGCTCAAATCCCTTCGTAGGGCTAGCTTTTTTTTTACTTTCCAAAACCGAAAACCCAAAAACCCTAAAAGCCTAAAAACCTAAACCCTACATTAGACGCTAAATTCATGCTCTGATGACACGTATATGATATTGTTTGGGTGTGTTATTTGGGTGTGGGCGAACGTGGGGTTTGGCGCCAACATATATGTATGTATACATATATACACATATATATATATATATATACACATTTTGACACACCTACAGTATTTTAAATGCATGGGGATTGCAAAAAAACGTCTCTGGCCCTACACTACCTCTTTCCACGAGCACAAGCTGAAAGAGAACAGCACTTGCTGCATAAATAAAACATAATAAAACATTAAAACAAACATTTGTGGATCTGCTCAGATAATGACATAATGCGCTCAAAGGGATACAGAGGGTGTCATCTCACAAACCTCCGCACCTGGGGAGTCTCCTTGATGGGCCCTCTCCACCATACACCATCAGAAGGCTGAATGCCCATCCCACAAACTTCCAATCCTGACAGCAAACGAAAGTTAAAGATAGTTAAAGTGCTAAGGCATGCAATACCAATCTACAACCAGCATTGTGTGGCAAACTGAATTAGTGGCTGGATATCACACAATCAAGAAAATTGCCGGAAGATGCCACTGTTTTACCAATGTTTACTATGATGTCAGCATGTGCCAATTACAATGCTTGGTGGTATCCCCGGTATCAGTAATGATCTCGAACTCAAGAACGATCATAGTAATGTAATATCTGTCAGTTGCTGAGGCTGGCAAACAGCCTGATATTCCAGGGGCAAGTAAAAACCTATAAAAACCTAAGAGGGAGCCGTTCTTCTTGTGTCTTCTGCCACAGGCAAAAATACCTGGAGTTCCACCGAAATCTTGCCTTCCGCTTGCTGGCACTGCGTTGAATGATCTGACTGTAGCCTGCAAGAATCCAGCGTTGTTCCTATGCTCCAAATTTAGTACTGTAAATGTAATTTCATTCTCACTCATTCTGGAAACACGGGTAAACAGGAAAGTCCAGTCCAGCCAAGCTTGATGTGGCAATAAGGTCGCTGCAAATTTGATGCCAAAGACAGTAGGTCCTGCAAAAGGGATCTAACACTGTCAACAATGTCTGAGTTGTCTCGCTGGCAGCTACGGCTTCAAATTTGCTTCAACCGCGACAGACTTGGTCATGGCCAGAGGCATGCGAGTACCGCTTACTTTATGACGACATCTTGTCACTGTGTAACTAGCTCCGCTCCTCTGCCAAGTTTCTTTGAAACTTCGTCTAGTTTCCTATGTACAAACACTTGGACAATCTTTTTTGATTTGTTTGTCTCCTTGGCAGTTGCTGCTTGAGGTTCACTCACCACAAACCATCGCCTCAGAGTGCTCTGGCATGCTCTGGCAGACTGCGTTGCACCCTTTCAAAGCCACTGTCTCGTGGATCCTCAAAGTGGCCACGTCACAATTTCCAAGAATCAGGCACGACGGGTGTACAAGGAGGCCTTGTCCAACGACAATGTCTGACAAGTCTGCATCACTAATGCTTTATCATCCTTTGCAATCATCATCTGTGATAATGGTCATTATCTGGGATACAGTAATTGCATGTAGTTGCAATCAAAATAACCTGCGTGCCCCATTGATCAGTGGGGTCTTATGAATGATTTACTGCCCCACCCTTAGTAAAGAACATTCATGTGAAGCATCAAGGGCGTGGACACATCTGCACCAGTATGGAGAGGAATCAATTCCAGATTGCTTTGGCATGTGTGGACTTGCTTTTCATTGCTCATTGCGTTCCGGTCATACTTGCCATAACAACTTGCCATATTTAATATACTTTTGTAGGCAAAAAGACAACTCTTTTTTGCACATTTGCAAATCAATCAAAACCAAAGGCAGGCGCTGAAAGCACAATTTAAAAAGCACAATGCCATGCGTCAATACAAGTGGAGGAAATAAGTTGATTGAAGGCTATAATACAACAATGGCTCTTCCAGTTTTCCACGAGAAGCATAACGCAAATTGCCCAAAAGATGCTTGGGACAGTCAGCAGAATCTAGAGATAAGCACTGAGAGGGCGGAACATGACGCAGATAACCTTCACAAAAAGCAAACCCACAAAAAGCAAACCCACACCACAAAGTCAACATCAGCCCAACATGGCGTGCTACACAAACCCACTCTATCATCTCTATCCCCTTTCCCCAGTTTTGCTTGCTGGGGCAATCCAAAAACATGGAAACCATAAAATTGCTTCCCCACACTTTCGCACAAGCTGCGCATGAACAATAAGATCGTAGTTGACCAGGGCAGTGGCACAGTGGGTAGCAAAATCCAACCATGTACAGTACCACTCTACAATCCGACCATCGAAAACTAACGTCAGATATTCAAATCATTCTTTCTTGCCGGTTGGGTAGAATTCCAAAGGCTCACACTCATCCAGAAAATATCCCAGCAAAAGAAGAATTGAATTGGACTAGACCGTATTGTTAGCAAAATGCCCACCGCATCCACCACTGAGAAGGCATGGCACAGCCAAAACAACTTGACATAATCTGATGAAACGTTTTAACCTCGTTTAAATTGCTTTAATGAAATTGAACGAATACAGGTGATACAGGCAATGGATGCCGTGCCTTGTGAAGCTGCCTTTGTAGCCAAACGCTGTCAGAGTGTCCTTTCACTCTGTCTGACTCTGATACTCCGCTGCTGTCAGACTCCATATCTGTTGCAGAAAACCAAAACGACATCACTTATTAGTATTACTATCATATATATATAATCAGTATTATTATTATTAAATATTATTATTATTATAGCAAGGCGGATTTGCCACAACATCGTCGCGCATTCTGTTCGAGTGTGTTATTCGGGTGTCCCAAAAAGGCGGGTAAAACGTTGCGGCGCATGTTGGGTCCACCATTTTCTTAACCGGCTCATGTCTCCGTTTTAGCCAGCCCAAACAAGTAGGTCCTTTCTTTGAATCGAATCTTCGAAGTTAAAATCCTTAGTCTTCCAGGGATGTAAAATGGACAGTCCTCTACAAAATTTGCCCCTGCGTAAGTCTGACATTCATGCACCACAACAGAACAAAGGACTGTGCTCTGGGTGCTTGAATCTTCTCCTCTGTACCTGTCATGCGCAAGTCTGTAAGTGCGAAAACGGACCGCAGTGTCGATTCAAATTTGGTATTAACTTCTTGCACGGCTTGCCCCGAAGATGCCGCTCGTTATGCCACCCTGCAATTGAATGGAAGGCATTGCTTGCAGCATCAGTACTGAATACAATGATTTCAATGACAGCCACTGGCCTGATGTGTTGGATTGGTTGCGCTGCCTTAGAAAAAAGACGCGTTCCATTTGGAAAGCACAATGGATACAGTACAAAAGATTACTGTAAGACCTAGCATCAAATCTGAAACACCCAAGTTTAGTCTCCCTAGTCTATGCCCTTTGTGTCTCGCACGAGGCTCAAAGTCACATTGTTCAATCTTTGCTAGAGTCTGATTCAACACAGTACTTTGGAATACATTCGACGGATTAATTAGACCTTTGACGATGCTGCGAAACAAAAATACAAAAGGGGATTCAGTAGACGGAGACAGAGGGTGCAGCGTTCGGGGGCCTATAGGGGCTAGAAAGTTCTCAAGGACGAATCATGAGGACGAATCATGTAGGAATAAGCAACATCAAGGGATATCAAAGGGACACACTGACATAGTGGTGTTTGGACATGGCATTCGTTGGAAACTAAAGGAATCTGAGGCTGGAGAGAATGGGTGAATGGTGAATGTGAGGGAAGGCACCGTGACTGTAATACCTTTACCAAAACTCAGGTCTCCAACCACAGCTGCTGTTCCAAAACAGTTTTCCTGTTTCCTGTACTATACCTGCCTCAGCGAATAATCAAGCATGAGGGTCCCCAACCCATCCCAACCCTAAAGGTCCCCAAAGCACTTGTGCCAACAAAAAAAATCAATCCGCTGAAATTCGATTGTGGCAATCGTAGCTGCATGGGGCCACATAAATTTTCATAAAGGTCTGACATGTTTTGGGCTGTTTTGGCATGGTGGGTTTACTGGTTTACTGTGGACCTGAAGAGTTGGCCGCGTTTAGGAGTCCGCTGTGTGATGTCTCCATGTTAAAACATTCGCTTGTTTAAGGGCTAAGCGGCTAAGCGGCTTGGCAGGAGGGGATGGGGAGATGATTTGCTTACCTCATAGTTGACATATGTCATGGGATGTCATGGGTTTTGAATGTTTCTGACTCCGCTTGTGCTTGAAGCTCCAGAGGGTCTGATCTCCAGCACAGCCTGAACAATATCAGAATATGTCACATATTTTCTGCGGACTTGCGACAAACACTCTCAAACTCTCAACAAGGGAGCGTATTCCTCAATATGTTCACACGGGAATCTATTCCTCAATGTTTCAAATTGCCTATAGGCCTGTGACCTCTGATTCGGCCAATGTCTCGCTGCGCCAACATTTGGCAAGGACAGCGCCAACATTTGCCATGGACAGCTGCCTTGCCAAATATTCAGATTGAATGAATTTCCCTGTTCAAAGGACTCTCTGTGAAAGGTTCAAACAACTGCAAAGGGATCTTTGTCGTTATTCAACATGTTTAGGCTGCATTCTGTCTGTTAGTTTTTATAACAAGAAAAACGCCCCTAAGTCTCTGCTTGATACAAAAATTGTTTGCGAGCCACCCTATTGATGCGTTACTTGTCCTCCCTGTGTTTCCATACAGTCGATTTGTTTGACGATGCTTGGCAAATGCGTTGCTTCTCGAGCAAGCACAGCAGTCCATACAGCCCATACAATTGATACGGGTAGTTACTGCGTCTTTAACTAACCTATCAACAATTTTGTGCTCGCAACGTTAAAAGCCAGCGCCCTCACATCGATCCATCTTTCTGAAAAGATCCAAATTCTACTTGCCAAGGCATTGGGTCTGAAGCCATACCAGAAGCAAAGGGCAGGATCGCATGAGACTTTTGCCTTTTGCAACTGTGCAGAGATAGAGACAACCAGCGCAAGTGTGTACGTGTGTGTGTATATATATAGCTCACCCCCCCCATGATATCTACCCCAATGATCCCCAATGAAGGTTTTACCTTATCTTTCCCCATGGTCCACCTGTGATATAACTTTAGGATACCTTTAATATCCCTGCGATACAACTATCTAATACATCTTTACAATACCTGTGATATACAATTTAATATACCTTTAGTATATCATTTGATGTACCTAGAATCTACCTTTGATATACCATTCACTTGACCTTGAAAATAACTTTAGTATGCCTTGACGACACCTTCAATGCATATACCTTTAATATACCAGCTAATTTGCCAGTTAATATACCTTGAGTATAAGTATACCATTTAACAAAACATGAGAATACCTTGTATATATTTTGAATATACCTTTAACATACCTTTAACATACCTTTAACATACCTTTAATATATCTTTAATATCTTTTCATATTCCTGTTGAAATACTGTTGATAGATAGACCATGTCATATACCTTGAGTGTATCATTTAATATACCATGGATATACCTTTGTTTTTTTCCCAATATCCCTTCAATATACCACGTCATTGACCATGAAAACATGGTTTTATTATTAATATACCTTCCATATATCTTTGAAAATCAATCTAATACACCTTGACAATACATGACTTGACAATACCATTTAATATACCTTTAATATACCGTCTCATATAACATGCGTATACCTGAATATACCGGTATTAATACTTTAATATACTTGTAATATACCTTTAGCATATTGCATACATACAACCATGACCTGTTTCTTTCAACCATACTATATACATACACCCAAGGGCTCTACTTCATAGTAAAGTTTCTTTGTAATATTGCATGCTTTTCAATCAAATGGTTCACCCCCCTCGTGAAGGAAGCTTTGCCCATACTTGCACCAACACTTTCTTTTCTCAATACCATAATGATCTAACATAGATACTCAAAGGATTCCATTCTGAAATCATGCTGTCCTCCTTGCATAGATTCCTTTACCTCTTTAAAGCTGTAAGTCTCTTTTAAAATAACCTTATATTCCGTTCAAAGAAGTGCTGCAACTCCTTTATATAAGGGGAATGTACAAAATGATGCCACTTTATCCAATGAATGTAATTTTTGAAAAATATCGCTGCGCAAGGCATACATTGGAGGATTTTGCTTTGAAAAAACTTCAAAGTCTATGCTCAAACTTGTCTGCTTCTTCTATTTTCAAGTAGTAGCTGTCCCACGGTTTTCAGTAAATTTCTGGGTGATGAACCAATCTGCGCATTATATGCCAAAAAGTAATGCTACACTACAACTCTTTTCTACAGTAAATATATTGTATACTATTTTCAATGAATACTGCATAGACTAAGAGAGCTTTCTTAATTAAGTAATTATGTGCTTTTTCAAAGGGACCTGACACGTTTGTTGGCATTTTCTGCACCCATGAAAGAGTCTTACAAAGTATGCTAGTTTAAAGCAATGTTCCATTTTCTCATACTTTTCGTAATCAAATAACAATGCAAGAGTGATGCTGCGCTACTACATGTGCTTAAGAATACAACACACATCAAAAGAGTGCTGCGTCCATTCAAAGACTTTCTTTCAAGGCAAAACTTGTTCAAAGTACTACTACATCTATCCTTTGAACGAAATAATACAAGCTTTAAACAAATGCTCCACCATTTTATGCAATATGTCTGATACTCTTTCAAAAGAGTACTGCATCCATTTAAGGACTTTCTTCACAGGTAAGACTCTTTCAAAGTACTACTACTGCATCTATTGATGCATTCTACTACACAGAAACACTACATTCTTTTGCGACATGCCCCACTGGCCTCAACTATTTTACGCAATGTGTCCGGTACTCTCTGAATCAAATACTGCATCCAATGAAGGACTTTCTTTACAGGTAAGATTCTTTCAAAGTCCTGCAGCATCTATTAAAGCATTCTGTGACAAAGCAATGTACATGTTCTCAAAGAAATACCGCACCATTCCCACCAAAGTATCCAAAAGTGTCAGTTTCCAGGTACTTATATACTTTGTTTGAATATGTCAAACCTAGACAGGAATGTGTATGTACGAATCCAAGGTTCCAAGATTCCAAGATTTGCACAGAAGTTGCTAGAGACAGAGCAGGAAAGCGTTGCAACAGCTAATTTTCAAGCGCATAAACATCACAGCGCATCCTATGCCAAGCTTAGTCTCACATAGTGCTTAAGCTCTTGAGTGAGAAACTTTGGTCAAAGTTTGACTTCCCAGGACCGATAAGGTAAGCAAGCATAAGGACACAGATGGCAATCATATGAATCAATAGACAAACAAAAAAAACAAAGAACTCGAGCAAAACCAAAAAGCAATACTTTTGAGAGAATGTTTGTTTTTGACTCAAAGGATTTTTTGGTTTCCCTAGGTTGATTTTTTTTGACACCTTGATTGATCGTAACCCTTCAAAAAACAAAACGCAATGTGTTTTTTGTTTTTTCCATTTCAAAACCAAAAAAACTAGGGAAAACAAAAAAAAACAATCTTTTGAGTCAAGACCAAACATTCTCTCAAAAGTGTTTTTTGTTTTGCTTAAGTTTTTTTTTAGTTTTCCAGGTGTCGTTTGCTTTTCTCGATGCGGCCCAAGACAAGTATGGTTGTCATTGTAGGCATTATTGGCTGCATGAAAGGGTGAAGCAGATGATAGGGTGAAGCAGACCAGGGGGTGAAGTGGTCAGACAAAAGTTTTAAATCAGTCATTGCCATTGAACAATAATGCATTAGATATTATAATTACAACCCAAATATATTGAAACATCCAAGTGCAGAAACCTGCCCCCCATGAGCGCCCTTCTGTGAGTTATTGTTTTTCCGGTTGTGCTTTATATGCAAAAAAGCATGGTAATTCCCATATAAAATGCTTCTAGGTAGATCATGGGGGTGACCATATATACGTATATATATATATACGTATATATATATATATATACATACACAGACATACATACAGTGTGTATATATATATATATTTATTTATTTATGTAAGATTATATCAGTTCAGATGTAAGCCTAGATGTACGTGTACCAAATGACCGTACTGGGATCTCACAACATTAAATGAAATATACCGGTTTGAAATTTCCAAAAAGATGCCTTCACAGTCACAAGGTCTTTTTGAAGCAACTCCAGCAACTTCGAAACAAGATAATATATTTTCCATGACGATGAAGACTCATGGCTGGATTTAGTACGAAAGCCCAATCACTATTATTAGAGGTAGCACATCAGGTCACAAAGTTGGCAGCAGGTTGGAGTGTCGCAGAAGAACACTTGAGCGCTCACGAACATTCAACAAACATCAACAAACGAGTGCCACAAATCTTGATGCAAACGCACACTCAACATACTAAACTCAGTTTGAGTTACATCTCCTTCACAAGTTCTTGCAAATGCTGTACTTGCTTGCGAAGCTTCTCTGCGACCTGCCCATCGAATGATCGCACTTCTGCCCGCATGACAGGTTTTGGAATCACCGAGCCTCCGGTTTGCTTTGATTTTCCTGGACAAGTATAGAGAATGAATGAAGAATGAGATAGGAACATATAATATAACATATAGGCACCATTAGGAACCCGCACAGCACAGTTTCGGGTATCAACAAGCATTCAAGACTCAGTGCCGGATTGATTTATGTCCGGATAGACTTGATGCTGACTCGGGAAAAATCTGGCTTCATGTCTTCAGGCAACATCTGAGGAGATAACGACAGGCTTCGGCAGCTCAACCTGACAAGAGATTTGAGCAATTCTCCACCACAATCTCTGAATTTGGATGAATTCTGCGATGAATGGATATCTGTCTGAAATTGTCTGAATGTCTATAAATGTCTACTATGTGTTGTGATGTGTTGTGTCTGTTGTGTCTTGCACCTGCCTTCGTAGCTTGTGTCAGCCAGCGCAAGAAATCACTGGCGCCGGGTGATGCCTTTGGACCATGCCAACAACTTTGAACAAATCACAACCCTTTCAAATCCTTTCAATGTCTTCATTTTTCTTCATACGTCTTCGCTTTTCACATCTTTTCAAGAACAAATCTCACGTCAAAGATCGTCAAGCAAACATGTTCCACACATGCTGGGAAGACGGCCACATTGTGAGGCGTCCAGTAGAAAAGCGACAGTGCAACTACTCGTGCAGACTCTGGGCGGTGAAGCCTGCTCAAACAAGTGGCGTGCAACAGTTAGAATATTTAGACGTTGCTGGCGCATGTAAAAAGAAACTCCATAAGCCTTTCGTTGAGAAGCTCCACCTTCACATCTATCTCAGAAATCCTTGGCTTCACATATTCAAATTGTTTCTTGGCAAAAAGTGTCATACGCTTTTAAGCCCATCCCCCCAAATTCAAAGGATTGGACTGAGAACTCGGTTTGAATGCCTCCGGCCGAGAACCCTGCCGCTGCTGCAGCTCCCTCACATGCTCCATGAGAAAGCGGCCATCCTTCATTTCTCAAGCCATTTCTCAATCAAATCTTCAAATCTAATTGCCAAAATCAACAGAACATGCCAAAAAGATGTATCAGGGACTTGATCAGGGAAAATGGATATTCATCACTTTGATGCGAGGCATTGTAGAAGTGCGAATCTCATGATCAGCTTTGACAATGAAGCGACTCCTTTTAATGACAGGGATTACTTTCGAGCAATACACAGATTACTTTCGAGCAATACACAGGTCACCCCTAGACTCCCAAACAAACTCCCAAAAATAGAACACTCTGACAGCCAAACAGAGATCCAAAAGGCTAAAGGGTGTTTGCGACATCTGCAACTGGTACTTTTGTACTGGATTGGTAGAAGGAGGTTGAAAGCATGTTTCTTCTTGTTTCTTCTTGTCGTATGTGGAGATTTGTGCACAGTACTGCAAGGCTTTGCCTTGACACTATGCTGACGAACACTCTCGGCCTCGAAGCAAACCGTACTCTCAAGGAGCAAGTTTCGTTTAAATGAATCGCTTCAAATTAGAAATTTGAACCGACCCGCTTACCTCAACATCGCATCCACATCGCACCCAATCTGGTGTGCCCACAGCTGAAAAAAAAGAGTGCCTCTCTGCCCCTTGAACTAAGCACCATCACCCAATCTTGTTCAGTCTGGAGGTCTGGGAATGACTCGTTCTGCGATGGGTCCTCATAGTTGAATTCAAAAAGTTCCAGCTACTTTTTAAAAAGATCCGATAAATGTCATATAAATGTCAAGCCAACCTTTGGACACTCCTCCAGCTTTTTGAGCTCTCCTTGCCAATCTAAAGTGAGCTGCTGAAACCTGCAGGTTTTGAGCATGTTAATCGAATCATGCCGCTTGTGTTGTGCTTCCTAATGCACAGCATTGGGAAAGATGAAGTCTATCATGCTGCATATCCAAAGCAAACAACAACTCTGCACAGCAGCGGAGGAATTGCCTCCTCAACATCTGTTGAACCTGGAAACCCACAGAAGACTGTCAGGTCTGCGAAATTCATCAAGGAAGGCTGTCAGGCAACCAAGAATGATTTGTTTGGAAGAAACATAAGTAACATGTTTAGTTTATTCTTGTCAATTCAATTTGTCTTGAATAGCGAGGGTTGTTTGGCGGGTTTGCTTTCGCTGTCCCTGTGCTTTGTATCAACCTGTGTGCCTCGGCACGGTCGGAGATAAGCATGCTGATGTCTCGATGAATAGCGGGCTCGTGCCAGAGTTGCACCTGTTGCGGTCGGGTTTTCACTGTGGTCGTTTCTGGCGATTCCTCTACGGTTTTTGCATCTTGACAGCCAGTTTCTCAATGCATCAAGTCCTTCCCAAACCCAAGCAAACATCCATGTATTGAGCGCAGCTATGCATTTCTCACTTCTCAAGGATGGAAACTCAGCTCCACGGGTCGTGTAAACGACTATGTGGTCAGTTTTTATTAGGGTGCTCTGGTACTAGATGTTGTTGAACTGGATAAGTGGCGGGCACACAATCACACACACACACACATACACACACTTGCTCAGACAGTTCTATTGACTTGATATTGGACTGCATCTTCCGTGCAAGACAGCAGCGACAGGAAAACCTAAAGAGAATTGAAGTATAGCCCGGCTCTTCCGGCTCTTCCTTGTGGCAATGTTCCACTCTGGATGGATGCTTCAGGTAGCGATGACCGTACAGGATCCATAAAAATGACCGTACCGTGGTTCTGGGCTTAGCCGGTTGCCATTGACAAAAATCAAATGAACGGAATAAATGGGATCTTGCAAGCTTTGTCCACGACATCCATGCCAAGATCAGCAGGTACAGGTGAATGCACCATACCATAGTTTCGTTGCGTCAGGTAGGTATGATGGGTTTGACGCCTCTGCTCTAAATACTTAATGAAAAAGACGAAATGAAACGGCAGAACAGGTAGAAATGTTACATCTCTTCAGGTAATTCACACACACATACACACACAATATATACACACACACACGCACACGCACACAGACAAACACACCCACACCTGCAAGCACACCCACACGCGAACTCGCGCACGCACACCCACACGCAGACATTCTCTGACTCTGCCCACCTCTGCTTTTCCATCTGTCCATATTGTCGGAAGTTTGACTTCTAAACTTCCTTCGATTAATTAGTTTATTTATCTAAATAATATATACCTTCAGTTTACTTCAGTTTATCCCAATTTTATTGGCCTCGAAAGGGGAAAAAAACTGTAATATACCTTAAATTTACCTTTAGTAAACCTTTAGTATATCTGTTGTTTATCATTTTATATACCCTATACCTTTAATATACAATCTTTAGTTTTTCATTTCAAAATCCCTTAATCTACCTTTACGTCATTTAACCATATTTCATGTACCTTTAGTTTACCATGTAATATGCCACTCAATATGTCATTCATATAGAATCAATATACCTTGAATGCAACATTCCATGTGCAATGTCAACCTACCATTTAAAATACCATGAGTATACCTTGAAAAGACCTTTAGTATACCATTTCATTGACCTTGAATAAAACATTGAAAATACAATGAATATGCCGTTTAGTATGCCTTCAATATACCTCTAATATACATTTTATGTACCACTTAATACAAGTTTCGCTGATCATTTAATATACCTTTAGTATACTATTCGACATACCAAGACTATATCTTTAATATACCTTTAGTATACCTGTAAAGTTTTTTAAATACTATTGACTGACCTTAAAATTACCTTCAATACATCTTTATTCTGCCTTTAATATACTGTTTAATGTGTATATATATACATACCTTGAATACACCCTTAGTATACCTTGAACATACCTTTAATTTACCTTTAAGATACAATCCAATATACTTGCAGCTTCCCATTTAACATACCTGTAGTATAGATTCAACTTACCTTTCGTATACCTTTAATATCTACGTTTTTTTAAAAATATGTTTAGATGTTTTTTGCAAGGAGGGTGGAAAAATGGCCAACACCTCACCCACTGGCTGGAGAGTGGCTTGGCTGAGACTAGGTCATGGGTCTGAAGTTTGTTCATTTTCTTGGTCTTCTTAGGATTTTAATTTTGAAATTTTCAGTTTCTTTTTCTTTTTGTTTGGTTTTGTTTTTAATGTTTTTTGGGTTTTGTTTTTTCTAGTGTTGGGGTCTTCTAATAGGGGCCCAAATCTTTTTTTCTGGTTTTGGGTTTATCAAATGGCAGTGACATTGATACATAACATTGACATTGATAGATGGCATTGACATTGACAAATGCTTTGAGAGGTAGGTTCAAGGGTGGCATGACCACATATGTAATATATAAATACATATCATAGATGGATCGATTCGCCCTATTCACTCCCTTTGAATAGTTTGCTTTGTGACCCTGAAGCGTCTTTCCAATCAAAGTTGTGTCGGAAGTTGTTGGAAAAACTGTGAAAGAAAAGATTATCTATATATATATTATAATATTAATTAATATTATAATATATATATATATGAGTAGTTTGGAAGGCAAGATGCACTGCAGCCACAAAATGACTGGCACATGCTAGCAGCTAAGCACCACTGGCACAGATCTGATCCCGTGAATTGAATCAAATGGCCAATATGATCAATATGTATTCAATATGACAGCATGCCGAAGCAAAAAAAAAAACGTTCGAAAGTTCTGCTGTTTGGTCACACGTTGCCTCGATAGGAAATCGGCGATTGAGCAGGGTGTGCCTCGACAGCAAAGGTCAGGCATTTGCGCCCGCCGAGAATGCGTCCTACCAATAGCGTGCAAGAAAATCAAACCATTGTTCCTCAGACGTTTTAGAAGGCTGGGCATTCACGTGCACGCTTGCCAAGGTTGATAAAGTTGTTTCAAGCGATTTTTTGTCAAGAACCTGACAATAGGAAGACCTGATACAGAGACACATAGTAGGAACATGTAGAAACAACGAATCCAAACGCAAACCCCAGACTTCCTCTCATGGAAGAAAAGTAGCAGGCCACCAAATTAATCACAGGAAGCCAATGACGACAACAAGGAAGTAAACAGCGAAAGCACATTGCAACCGGGTCAACCCCCAAAAACCCTACAGTACAGAAATATGTATCCCGAAGTCTGTCTGCACAGTTGGGAAGAATGGACAAGAGAGAAAGAGAGACAAACAAACAGAGAGAATCAGAAGGACAGAAGCGGGCTGGCTATGATGTGTGATGGCAAGTCAATGTGAATCTGATAGACATCAAGGATCAAGGATCATGCAGGCTTGATGCGACAAAAACTGCTGTGTATTTGTGAATGTAGAGAGATGCCGCTCAGGTGTCAATTAAAATCTTTGTTCCAATCCCTAACAGGAACGATAATTTGAGAAAAGTCCTTTGCATGTGCTCTTGGAATCACCATTACCCGAAAATTGAGCAGTGGAATGAAAACACTCCATTCGTCTTTGCATAGATGGGTGAGGTATTCCAGCTGGAATCCTACCACATGCCCGAGCTGGGGGAGGAACTCACTTGGCATCGCAACACGCAGTCGGCGCAGAACATACCTCAACCCGCAACCCCCAAAGTTGAGCAACAAAATTGACACAAACTGCTTAAAAGAGATGTTTTTTTGATGCCGCAGCAACGTATAAGTTGTAAGGCAATCTCAGCTTGCCACTCATCCATGTCTGAAAAGCTTTCTCCCACCTCAGACTGAAGAAAATGGTTTAATGTTGTGAATACAGTCCACCTGCTGCCCCAACTCGACTTCGAATGGGAAATTCTGAAGGAATAAACACTTGAATTCCCCAAGATTACAATAATACAATACCATACAATACACAATCATTCTGAGGAATTGCAGCGATGTACCGTGGCAGTTCCCTTCCTTCAGTCTTGCTAACCCGTCTAGATTCCTGACGTGTGCCTCGCCTGAAGTGAGCCTCCTCCCTCTGGCCCGGCGAAACGAATAGTGCCAGTGCCATGATCCTCAAATATACTCTCAAGGCTTGGCAAAGATCATCACAAATCAAAGAGACTCTCAAAATTCTTAAAGCTTGAATAGGTTCCTTTCTCATACACCGGAGTTCAGGGGTCAAGGGCTACTCGCCGCAACCACCTCGAACAACTGGTTGCACCATCTACATATATAATACTATATAATTTTGCCTAGACTCACATAGGCGGCGATAAAAGAAGCTCTTTTTCTGCAGCGCCCAGTTCTGCTTTGTGTGATTTTTTTCCGTATCCTTGTAAGTGCACAGGTCAAGCGACACTCCATACTTAGAAAACAGTCGCTTTGCTTATCATGCCTTCTTTTAAAGTTCGGATTGCTGTGTTATGCTGCTTTTCACCAAGCATGTTTGTTGCAGGTACTGACGTTCATGGTACTATCACAAGAATAATGCCTTACTGAGAATTCTCTGCTGTGTAGTTCAGTTTCGCCAGTTTGGCAGTGGGTCTGTAGTGCCTACTACATGTCTCTCTTCTTTTTGTATAACCGGAATGAAAATGCTCAAGCCAACGACCAATCGAAAGAAGCACCCTTTTATCTCTGCGTGGCCATGAACAATCCAAGCTTTCGTTCTAGGAACTCTTCAGGGCTTGGCCACACGAAACGGCTGCACAAACATGCATGCAAACGTTGCTCATCATGAACAACTGCTGCAAGCACTAAATGACACATGAAAAGGCTTTTTTTTGTATGTTTTTGGTACCGGTTCCGTGAGGGGCCGGCAACGATACATGTTTTTGCTTCGTTCAGTTGAACCTGCAGAGACATTTGATGCTATGTCACACACAAGGGGGAGGGGCTAATAAAGTTCATGTTAACTTGCGCACATACTTGACGCCACGTCACGGTTAGGGGGGATGGGGTGGGATAGAGTGGGGTGGGCACATGATACTTGACACTACGCCACTACGCTACCTAAAGTTCACTTTCGCATGCAAACATGATGCTACGCTGCATGGCACTCACCAAACTTCCGTAAAAAGACTTTCAAGAGATCTGAGGTCTACATTAGGAACGGGTAGATTGGAATGATGAAGATTAAGATGAGGAGGGTGATGAGGAGGGTGATGATGATGATGATGATGATGAGGAGGAGCTTATGATTTGTATGTCATTACTTCTGCATGGGACCTGCTTGTTTCACCGTTGCCAACCTTGCTACCCTCCAGCTTCCAACTCGCAATCCCTCACACAATCCCTCACACATGATCAAAAAGTCATTAGTGTACACTCCATCAGAATGTCCGCTTGCTTCGGTGTCCGACGAAGATACAAATTACTCCACGGTTATCTAAGTGGTGCATTCAACATTGCTCACGCTAGCAACTGTGTCACCCTAAAAGCTGATTCCTTTCATAGGCTTGCTCCCAAACCACTTGCGCATGAAAGCGAATAATTTGTAACAACAATTTGTAACAAAGTTCAATGTTAGCAGGCTCTTCAGAGTAGCTGTATCATCTGTATCTACCATTCTGGACGAATCTTGTGATTGAAAATCTCCCAGAGTCGACCTCTCCTTCGATTGCTCGACAAAGAGTTGGCTCGTGTTCCACACCTGGAGCAGTGCTTCAAAGACTTTCCCAAACTCATCCCCCAACTCATTTGCTCCAAGGCTAACTCTGTGACCACTTTCCAACACCTTCCAACATCTTCCAATAACATATTGCTCGCCCAGCCAGCAATAATAGTAATGTATAGACCTTGCCTTGGCCTTTGTTTGAACCTCAAGTGCTGAACTTGCGTACGGTACTACATGGCATAGTCCAACCCTTGCCAATGTTCTTTCACACTAGACAGCGACAGAGTCCTGCTTGCTCAAAAAGGTCAAAATCTTGAAAAGCTCAAATGGATACCAGTTGATAAACCATGCAGAAACCAGGACGACCCTGCTACATTTCTTGACATGTTTCTGCATTTAGGGCTGTGGGCTCTTCAGCTTTTGACAAACGAGGAGCAACACATTCACAAAATAGGCACAAGACAAAGACAAGACAAGACATATGTATATATATAATTATATACATATATATATATATATACACATCCATGGTAAACATGTAGATTAAGTTTGTACCAGCACATAGCAAATGCCTACACATATTCTTATATGGTTTTTGGAGTTGAGGGCTGAGATCACCAGCTGCATACTCCCACCAACATGCATCTCCGCATGTATCCAAGAATGGTCAGTCCTTGTATCCCACTTGGTTACCCTCCAGAGGTCAATCCAGCGTCATTCAGCAGATGATGAAAATAGATTATGCAAAGTGAGAATTTGATCCAGCAAAGCGGGGGGCAGAAAAAAAAAAACAATACTATCTAAATATGATGCAATCCAGGGTAATACATGATGTCAGATGACATTTAAAAAACTCATCGTGCAGCGCCGTGCAATTTGACACTTGTAGGATATTATAAGGTACATTCGATTTGAATAGAACATACTGATGGAAATATCTGCAAGAATGTCATATTACAATTACAATAAAATACCTGAACACTATGACATCCTAAAACACAGCAGGCTTGACTATTTCAAAAATCAGCTATGCATATTGCTAAATTGCAGACCTTCATGCCAGCGTACAAACACATTACAATTACACATTGAGTTTATACAGTATTCAATTGTTGCCTCTCTGCAGACAAACCGGACCGCACCCACATGCAAAATCATGCTGCTGTGAAATAACACTGAACCTGCACTTTGGAAGTGCAAGTCCGCCTTGTACTTCATCAGCACAGAGTTCCTGATTGGATGTGCCTTCCGCAATAGTAACAACACTCCTTTTGGAATCATACTGGCGCAATGTGTGCCAAGGGCCAAGGGAAAGAAAGCCAAGAAACAATGTCGACAGTGAAGATGCTGCAGCTTCTCTTTTCAACATGTTACAACCATGTAAAGTAAGGCCAGTGCATCTTTTGGGACAATGTTGACAGGAGACTGGCGAGTACCTGCACCAGGCCGATTCAGGCGAGCAGGAGACACAAAGCCGACAACTCTACCTACAGGGAATAAAAAAACTTGTAGCTTACCAATACAGCCAATACACTAACTTGTCAAGCTGCCACATCTACTGGAACCTGTCTACCAGTATATATATATATGTATAATATATATCAAGAGACAATACTCTTGGCCGGGTGCCCTACAGTAGCAAGGACGCAGGAGCTGGTTCTGCTGTTCCATTACGACAGGAGGTCAAATGCCTAGTTGCATCTATAAAGCTCTTAAGAGCTGCAATTTCCTGGCATGAATCAGGGTGTCAATGGCAAGTGTAAGCGAAGAAGCAGCAAGGAATGAAAAGGATACTTCGGATACATGCTATGATTGTTTCGGGCAAGTCCAGGCAGGAAACGACGGCTGCACTGAGGCATGCAATGACTCAAATGACAAATCAAAATGGTGCCTGTCAGCGGACAGGCTGTTTCGGCCAGTGCCCGCACCTGTGCTGTTTATGAGGAGAAATCAAGGTGCCACACATTTTGGAATCTTTGGACAGAGATGCTGCAAAAATACAGACACTACCAGGCTTACCAATGGTGTCATGCTGGAATTGCTAAGAATCAGGCGGTGCACAGAAAGGATAACCAAATGGCAAGTGGCCAAATCTTTGGGCCCATGGCACTGGTTTCTCTGCGCGTCATTGCATCATATTCTAGCTCCGGCAGTGCGTTTGCAATGCTGCCAACCTTCTTGAACAGTTAGATGTAGATAATGCTTAGACAATTCATCATATTTATTCATCACAATTTAGAAGAACATCCGAGTTCTGGGCAAACCGTTTTATCCTTGTCCTCTGGACACTTCTGGCCCGGGGGGGCACGGAAAGCACAGGCGCAAGCTACTTTGCTCGCCAATGAAACAATGATAGCCGCCGAAGAGCGCCGATGCCGCAAGGTTGATATTCGAAGCAGCATAATGTTGCAGGTTTTTTTTCATTTTTACACCAAGGCTGAGGCTCTACCCAATTACAGTAAACAACTTCTTGGATAGTGTGCGCTGTTTGGGAAGTTGTTATGATCTTGTACTAGGTGGTTTGAGTCAGCTTGCGCATGTTTGAAATTGGTGCATCGGTTCAAACCGTCAAGAGAAACATGTTGAAACATGTTCGGGCAATTTGATGCAATTTGTCTGTCATCTCAGGAAATCTTTCAGTTCTAGTGCTTCTGTGGGAAGCAGAAGGGCACCCATATGAGGCCATTACAATTCCATACAAATCTGCTAATCATTTGCAAAATTTACATGCTGCAAGGCTTCTTGGGGCAAAATGGCCGACCACAAATCAAATCATGCAGCAAATCAGCACGACCGAGCGCAATTTGAGGCTGAGGCTGACATGGTATGCTCATTGTATGCTCTTCAAACACAGCATGGACAGCATGGACATGTCGGACATGACTACAGAGTCCATGGCTGCAATGGTTCGATCCTTCTCAATCATAAGCCGCAACCATTTCACTCCAGTCTCCTGGATCTGCTGGGTGCTTTGGAGCCCACCCTTCACAACACGTTTGCAGGGGATTCGTCTGGACTACATTCTTAGCACCGCCTGTGCAGTCACCAACATTCACTCTTTGTCACTGAGAGAACAAGTCATCATGATTCATGATCTCTTCATCATGCATCTTCAAAAAATGCGAGTCGACCCGATCCGTCGAGCCACTTTATCACATGGGAGGCACTGTCCTTCATATCCCTTGACCGTGCGGCGCTCAGGGGTAAACCACTCAAAAAAATGTCTATTGTGACACCCTGACTTGCGTTACCATTCCCTGGTGTTTCATGTCTTAGAGTCCTCCAAAGCATCTTGCCATAGCTTCAGAGCTACAGCCAAACGATTTGCGGGAGTTGCCAAAAAACTGCGAAAGATTCCCTTGCATGGGTGATGCCTTCTGCAGTGTAAGCAGCTTCACTTTAAGACGGTGTGAGGCAGTGAAACCTGGACACTTTTTGGGATTTGAAGACCTTGTCAGATACAAGTTGTTTGTGCTTCCATCCAGAGTTCAGTTTGAGACGAGAATCATCCAGATACGCAAAGCCGGGGCAAACCAAAAGATACCACACACTCAGTTCTCAGGAAAGAACACAAATTCATTCTGGTTTGCACTCTTTGTGAAAAGCAATCGAGTACCGCACATGGACAACTGAAAATCCTTAAGCTTAATGCGTCCACAAATGTCCAAATGTCCACATGTTTCATTTCAGGCACGGCAATCGCTCTGCGCAACACTTGACGCGCTCTATTGCTAGCGAAAGAGCTTGAAAGCAAGGAAAGCGTGGCACAATTGCTGTTTTGCCCACTGCTGCAGTCTGCATGTCATCTACGCCGTTGTAGATCTATCTACCTACCTGCCTACCGATCTCGTCGTCTATCGATCCATTCATCGACTATATCTATACCTTCGGGCACAAACAAACGATACACAAGCATGCAATATGAGGCTCAATACCTGCAAAATGCAATCAGACTGCATGTGATATTATATATATACATACTTAGGAATATGGTCTTATGTGTCGTCCATTGCGCTTTCGACCAGACCATGTACACTTCATGATGCATATTGCATTTTCTATATCATGTACATATATATATATATGCATATCGTTGTGCATATATTTACACATGCGAAGCATCTTGAAGCGGTGCATGCAGTTCCATGGACAGCAGCAGGCTGTTGTTGTGAGATCAAAGATCCAAGTCATCATTTCCCCAACCAGCAGTGGACACCTGGCGCTGGACACGGGAGGACTTTCTGAGAGCCAATCTGCAACAAAAGACAAACTTGTCTACATCCCAGTTGCACCTCAGCACCTTCATCCAGCAATGAACTCACTGATGCACCCTTATTGGCATCCTTTTCCAAAATCCTTGCCGGGTCGTCGGTTGACAATGCGAAAGATTTCAAGTGCACGTTTCTAGTTGTTTTTTTGGTTTCGCTGATCATCGTACTTAAAAAACAAACAAAGTCCTTGGTGCTCGATATTCTGGTTCCATTCCTAACTCGTTGAAGAAATCTGCCTCCTGAACGCAAGAGATGGTCAAAGGCACCCTGCAATACGACGGTCAAAATCAAACAGGCAGATTCCTGACCCTTTGCAGAAAGCATCAGCATTCTTCAATGCATACCTCTTCTTCTTCCTCTTTCTCTTCCTCTTTCTCTTCCTCATCTTCTTCCTCTTTCTCTTCCTCATCTTCTTCCTCATCTTCCTCCTCTTCCTCCTCTTCCTCCTCTTCCTCCTCTTCCTCCTCTTCCTCCTCTTCCTCCTCTTCCTCCTCTTCCTCCTCTTCCTCCTCTTCCTCTTCCTCCTCTTCCTCCTCTTCCTCCTCTTCCTCCTCTTCCTCCTCTTCCTCCTCTTCCTCCTCTTCCTCCTCTTCCTCCTCTTCCTCCTCTTCCTCCCCTTCCTCCCCTTCCTCCCCTTCCTCCCCTTCCTCCCCTTCCTCCCCTTCCTCTTCCTCTTCCTCCTCCTCTTCCTCCTCCTCTTCCTCTTCCTCTTACTCTTGCTCTTCCTCTTTTTCTTCTTTTTCTTCTTTTTCTTCTTCTTCTTCTTCTTCTCCTTCTTCCTCTTCTTCTTCTTCTTCCTCCTTCTTCTTCCTTCTTCTTCTTCCTTCTTCTTCTTCCTTCTTCTTCCTTCTTCTTCTTCCTTCTTCGTCTTCTTCGTCTTCTTCGTCTTCTTCATCTTTATCTTTGAGTCTCGCGTCTTGGTATCACAATCATCGTACATGTATCGTGGCAAACCCAACCATAGTCCCCTTTTTGAGTATGCTGTGTATACCCCATGGTACAACGACAGCTTGTTTTTGATTTAATTACCGCGGTACACATTTTTGCGACGCTGTCCTGCTTCTTTGACCCTTTGGGGGCAGGTGAAGCTTGAGAAGCTTGCGAGGCTGAGCTGCCTGAGCATGGACATGTTCTGCTGTACCATCGACAATATTGCGACAAATCACCACAAATCACGTACAGTGGCAGATGGAGATGGTACTGCACCCCCTTGGAATTTCTCGTACTGGTTGTGATGATGATATAATGTGATACCCTGCGCCTTCTTCAACAACCGATTTCCACTCTTTATATCCCTTTATTTTGGGTGAAGCCAATGAACTTGTTCAATCTTGTTCATAGCTTGGATAGATCATTGCCTCTCCTCAATTCGTGACCGTGTATTTATCACCACTGTTGTGTCTTTATCATTCTTTATCATTCTTCTCTTCTTCACAAATCCATGCTGAATAGTATCTGAATAGCTGTACAGCTGTATAGCCCACATAAATGCGCTTTTCAAACGCGCCTACTTCGTGGATTTGAGGCTCTGACTTGGAGCCACAGGCCTCTTCGTCGTTGTTTCACGAGTGGGGTTTCGATCCACCTGGCCATGTCCGCTCTGCTCCCGGGCAATAACAAACCAGAACAATTTGGCTCTGCTTGATCGGTGTTCTCCTCACAGATTCTGATTGTCTTGCAAGACTCATCCAGCCAAGGCACTCCACCGCGCTGAGCCTCAGCCTGATCAAGCAAAACTATTCAGCTGCACCCAAATCTGCACGAGTCGCGTAACATCCAATTTTAAAGAAACGGTTCAAATTGCTCACTATCCTTTGAAATTTGGGGGACTTTATTCTTTAAACAGAAGTCTTCTGCTGCCCTTAATGCTAATGTCCTATGTCCTCTTAAGTACAGTACTCGAAGGATGCACACTTGTCAATGTTCAGGAAAGACAAGCTTGCAGAGAGATCATTAACTGGCTACATACTGTACATGCACAAGCATAATGCTCTGTAATTGACTGACTGACTGACTGACTGACTGACTGAATGAATGAATGAATGAACGAATGAACGAATGAACGAATGAACGAATGAACGAACGAACGAATGAACGAATGAACGAATGAACGAATGAACGAATGAACGAATGAACGAATGAACGAATGAACGAATGAACGAATGAATGAACGAATGAACGAATGAACGAATGAACGAACGAACGAACGAAAGAACGAACGAACGAACGAACGAACGAACGAATGAATGAATGAATGATGTGTGGGTGTGTTTTCATTTCTTATTGGAACTGGCTACCTGGCTTCCTTCCTGCCTTCCTGCCCCTCTGTCTGTAATGAATTGTGTAAATTGCCTTTCCTGGTTCTTAGTTCACATCACTATCACCTCTCCTACAAAAAGTATGGGCTAGGATTAAGCCATCGTTTCACAGTTGCATTCTTCAAGACACCCTTCAGTACAAATCAAAAGTGAATCGCTGAAGAGAACTGCTGAATGGATCTTTCGTCTAGTTCACCAAGTGAGCCTCCTTTGTCTGAGACGCGCTGGAGCCACTTGCACCACCCTCACCCCATGAGTCTCCAAAGAAATCATCCTGGCTAGCAACATTTGCTACGTCATCTGCTAATGCAAAGTGCCATTTGACCTGTCTTCCTGTTTCTATATTATATAATATATAATATGTATATATTATATACTGTATATAATACTAATATTATTTATTATTATAAATCAATCTAAATTACTATAATATGTTGATATATGTTCATATCGTTTCCACGTTTCAGGCTTTAAGGTCCTCATCCTCATCTTCCTCCGCTTTTGCTAGATGTTGCCCTTCTGCTGCGGAATACCTGGTTGTGGAATACATTGGTTTGAGGTGAAGCACCAAAACTCTGGAAGCACAGCGGACTGCTCTGCTCGACAGTGCTGTGCAGGGCTCTGTTGGCTCTGTTCAAGGCGCACTGCTCTGGTGGCTTGCGCCCTCCGAGGAAGGACAAGCATCGGAAGGGCTTGCAAAAGGCTTTCATTCGCCTGACTGAGGGATGGTCAGTGATTTTGATATGGGAAATGAATGGACACGAGAACTTCAAAGCGGAATCTTAGCAGAACATGTTGCAATCCTCACCACCCAGCGCCACGCTAGCTCCACTACAGGTTCCGATGGCACAATTGATGTGGGTTTGGAGAAGTCAGCTGCTTTGCTTGGGCATTGACTTGCTAAAGCCAGGCTACTCCCCCTCTGAGTCTGACTTAATGCAGTG